AAAATGCTCTTAAAGCGTCCGTTTGAGGAGCTCGCATTGGTTCCTCTGTCCCTTCCTTGCACCGTTGTTTGAGACACGCATTTATGTTGAAAACATTTATCCGCCTCCGGTCGGTGTTCCATTCACCTCCAGTCATTGCAGTTGTTTTCGCATGTCCATTCCCCGTAGCCTCACTACATCGTCTTCCCTTTTAACGCGTCAGGGCCGACACTCACAGGTCAACCGTCAAAGTCGAGTAAGTCATCGCTTGTGCAGTAGTTGCACCGAACACTTCTGCCATCTCCTCTGTACTGTCTGTTGTTCTGGTATGCTGGACGAAGGCGTTTCCACATCCATCCGACTTAGTTATGCTTCATTTATTTCTGTTTCTACCTATGCCAAAATTTGTGCTCGAATAGTGGCGTTGTTTGGTTTGTGAGCTGCTTATTTGAGGTGCTGCGATTGAATTGACGGTTGTAGTTGCTGCACTTAGCGGAGAGTTGACTGTATGATCCCATGTGTACGAATTATCCTTGCTTCATCGGCTGCCACCTTCACTTCCCACCTTGCTGGTGCAGGACTGATAAGCAAATACCAATCGTAAACATCGACTACGATGCAACTTTAGGAATAGTAGTGCTTTTTTGAGTTCTTGCTGGGCGCTACACCCATGTTTGGTCCTTCATCTAGCCGGCTGAGAGTGAAAAGTGGTGGCGGTGCTTTCATTTGCTCTTATAAAGGTAAAGCACAGTGAAATTGTCGTTTTGATGTTATAGAAGCTGCAGGCATGGGGCTACCATCTCCGTCGAGTAAGCCTTCTTTCTATTCATTTCTTGCCTTTGATTGATGCTTAAGGCCTGAATTACTTTCATTTCTCTCATTTGGGCCCCGAAGTGGTTTGGACACAATTTACTTTCTTTGGATGTAACAGGGACCATGAATGTGGCCCAAACACTAGCATCAAGTGTATTTTCACTTCTGGAACTTCTGTTTGACGTACTTATACTATTTTCGTTACTCCGCATTTTGTGATTGTTTGGTGGAGGATTTTCCATCTTAATTTTTCCGCCTCGTTTAGGAAGCAAAAGGGTGGGGTTTTCGTACTCTGAAATTTTTTCCACAATCTGAGTGGACTTTGCTTTTTTTGTTCCGCTTACACTTGCTTTAACATCCTCCAATTAATGTTGCAGAGGCGCCAAGATTGGATCAGTCAGCAACATCGGGTAGGACTTTACTTGTCCTCTGGCTATTTCCTCGACTCAACTTGTTGTCATTTGTCCCACGGACCCCATATCTGTCTAGTTCATGTGGAGTATTCACGTTCCATTAGCTTGTCACAGAAACGTCCCTTTCAATGTTACAGGTTCGGCGGTTGTGAGGCAACCCTCACCTTTGAGTAAGCTCTTGCCTGCAGAATTAAGTACTCTCTGCCTATTTCTCCACTTCTTTTGCTGCCATTGTCAAATGCAGCGCCTACTTACAACAACATCCTTCGTTTAACCATTGCAGAATCACTGGGCTCTCAACACCATCAGTCACCATCGAGTAAGCTTTTGCACAAAATATTCGCACCATTCCGTCTATTCTGCAGTTTTCGACCTGGTGGTTTAATTTTTTCCTTATCTCTGTGCTACTCACTTTCTGGGAAGAGACTCTCCCACGTTATGCGACCCGTGGACATGCGCATTCGGTTGTATTTCGATTTCAACTTTTATTTTGCCACAGCCTTGCCTTTAATCTGCTTACTTGGAATGTCCCTGCTATATTTTCGGTAGCAGTGGCAGTAGGACAAGTTCAGAGCGCTCCTTTGCAGTGGAGTTTCACGTCATCTTTAGCCGAACCCTTGAACACTCATTTTTTAAAGGTGCTCTTTTCCCATTCATGGACTTTCTGCCTAATGTTTCCCTCAGAATCCTCCCCACCTCGGGCGTCCACTTCAAGGGCGGACACGCCGTCGGAGGATCTGAATCCCACTTTAAAGGACACAGCCATCTTCACCAGTATGTCCACATTACCATATACGCCACCTGTTCCTTTCTTTGTCCGGTAAAACCGGCTTTTTTAGTACTTGAAATTTTCTGTGGTGCATAGGAGGAAATTTTTGGACTTGTTAGTATTTGACAACGTCCTTCATTTCTCGATATCTCCATCGGTGTGATGATGATGTCATCTCCATCTTCTCAATGATCATGCGTTATTTTATGAATTTCAGGATGTCTACAACCTTGTAAGTAAATTTGCCCACTTTTTTCCCATTTGTTCATTTCTTTTATGCTGCCTCACTTTAAATTGACATGGTTATTTCATGTGACCACTCTATCACTTCCCAGCTGAACTGACGGTTCTCGCCACCCTGTTCCTCCATGATAAGTATCCAAATGCTCGAGCTGTCTGTACGTTTAGTGCTGCTCTTTCACCAACACTTGGTTGCCATCGGCAATATCACGCGACAACTTGTTGTGCTCTGCAACCCGACTGTTTCCTAGGCGTCTATAAAGTGCGATGTTACCTAATTACATGACATTGTTTTCGCCCTCCTTCCTTTGGCAGTTCGATCGAGTACCAAGTTCAATATGGAAATGATTCCTATTCCAAAGTACATCTTCACTCAGTTGTGTGAGCTGTGTGAACCCCTCAAACTGGAATTGGTCAACCACGACGGCAAGTTTCTATCAAAGCATTCCCGACCACTTTCACTTCTCCCTTCTTTATTCCGTTTGGGTGACCAGCTATTAGCATAACTCGTCTTTCAAAGGTGGCTTTTAGCGAATTTCCATAGACCCTGTCAGATTCCCCTCATCAACTTTTACAATTGCCTCTCCTTCTGAATCCAGTTGCGGTCATGTTCCCTTTAATTTTAATTTCCAGAATGGAGATATCCTGAGCGTCAAAGGACACCCTATGAACACGGAATATGTCAAGCGGTAAGCGGCACTGCCTTTGCTGGTTAGCAGTGACTTGCTAACAAAATCGCCTACCACGCATCAAAGTACATGATTTGACGATTATGGTGTGCAAGATTTATGCATTAGGAGGATGAAATGGTGTCCCTTGATACTGGCGATTTAATTTACTTCGGTATTATATGATCGGCTCTGCATTAGTGCCTGTCTGTTTGCGCTTCGACGTTTGTGAACGCATCAATGGCGATTTCACCATTCAGAATTGCCGCTTCAATTTGCTTTACTACATTCTCTACCTTATTGAATCGCTTCGCTTTGACACTAAACGCCTAACTACCCAGCTAATAATAACTCGAATTGTTGTATTGGAAGGTACAAGTCCGATGGAACCCATCCTTTCATTTTCATCCTCTAGATGTCTGTTCGACTGATCCAACGGATTCTTACTTTGCACCACAAAATGACTTTTACACGAATCCCGGTACGTCTACACCCTTGGGGAGCGGCATTACCGACAACGTTGTACTTCAAGTTAACGTTATTTTATCACTACAACGGTTTCAAAACTGCTACCTGTAAGTCACTCTAAATGCGTGGTTTTTTCCAGCTTGCCCCATTTCCCGCCCTCTCTTTGGAACTTCTTCACTCGAGAGATTTCTTCAGCTGCACCGGCCCTCTTTTAATCGTGGTGCAGGGTTGTAATGAAAGTACTCTGGGCGTGTGGGAGCCCACTCACCTGATGAAAGAGGGCAACGAGCCCTTCTCTCGAAATCTCAAAACGGGCAGTCAAATTGAATTCGTAAAACTGGCACATAGTCGAGGCTATCAAGTCGCATTTCTCAATCTCAATTGCTTGGCAGCCGAAACATCGATTCCGTAAGTCTACCAGTTCTCCGCCTCCTCGTCACCTCCGTTTGTGGATGTGCCATTGTTAGTCTTGTTTCCTGTCCATCTAGCGACAGGTATTCAGAACGTGTACAAGCTTGCCACTTAAACTGCGATGTCTTTCCTTCACATGGAGCCTCCCAGTCCGATGCAGGACCGTCCGATCGGTTTTCCGCATTGTTTTATTTGCAACAATCTCCCGCCCTAATATGCGATGTGGTGAGTTGTTTATCTTTATAACTACTTTATCTATCTTACTGAGCATTCTTTCGCAAAGTAGCCGCAGAAGTCGTCATTTTTCAGTGACGTCTACTGCTTTTACTGCTAAGAGGGAGAGGCGGCGGCGTGGAGGTGCATAACTACGCCATTTCTCTTTACTAGGCATAATTACTGCGTCCAAGGGAGGAAGCGAGAGAATCAGTAGTGGGAGTTTCGAATTGCTTTTTTACTGTTAGATTCATTAGACAGATGTAGTAAATAAAGGAGACTTGTCTTGTTTGCATTTTTAAGCAGCGATTCTTTTTCCCTCCTCTACCTGAAACCCAACAGTCTGTCGTGTCACTGGGGGAGAGAATGGCCTGTGGTTGGGAGGCTCTCATGGCCCGTTGTCGCTCATCCAACATCGTCGTGTGGGTGCACCGACGAGCTGAGGAGTCCTTCTTCTATCCCCTTTGTCCCACTCCCCAAACCCGCACTAGACAGCCGTGGTTGCTAAGACCGACGTAGGTGCTAGTGGCAGCTGATTTTTAAAAACAATTTTAGCTAAAAATGCATAATGCGCTTATTTTTGACCCAAGTTTGTAGAGTATATAGACGTTGCTTTGTTACTGGCTGTCATGAGGCTGACTTCAAATGTACGTACTTAGTTTTTTGGTGCCATTGTCATGGCTATATTTGTGTTTCAAGTTTAGGACCGCGGATTCCCAACATCAGGAAGAGCGCCCTGTAAGTGCCGTTGTTTGTTTAGTCCATGCAGTCATTGAGTGAGAAGGGGAAAGCTTTAATAAACAACATTGTTCCAAATTTCGTCGGTGTTGACTAAGTCACAACCCACACCGGCAGTGTTAAACATCGGTTGATCTGTGCGTAGAAAGTATTTCTGTCCTTTTTCGTCTACTTTACGGTTTATACTCTGTCTCCGAAGCACTAAAAGTCGGGTCTGTAGGGGCGGAGATGCAAGTGATGCGTTATCACAGCCGTGGGCACACATTCGCAAACATTAAGACAGTAGTTTCACTTCCCAGCGTAAACGGAGTGCGTTGGTGTGTAGTTACACCCTTTCTTTTCCGTCCGTTTCGTGCTGTGTATAGCCTGAGTGTCATTTAAGTGAATGCCAACTGATTGGCATTTCAACACAACTTTATCCGCGGAGTCGCAACCACAAATTCGCTGATGTGCACTGCCACCTTATTCTTGCAATTCTTAAGCCCATGAGCAGCAATGCGATAAGTGGTTTTTGTCGCTTCTGTGTGTACTGCCTCGTTTCCTCTTTGATGGATTTATAGGAGTTCGGAAACTTCAGAGTCACCGTGGTGGTGCAGGTCACTTCAATCGTACGTTATCGTAGTTGCTGAATTCACTTTAACTTTTTTCATCAAAATTATCGTCCTTTTAAGGGGTGTCATATCACGTGCCTGATTATCTTTAGCTTCACAAAGATGTAAGTAGCTATTCTCTTGTTTTCCTCTTTCATTTTGGTGTGTGTGCCACCCCATTTCGCCTCGAAGTGGTAAACTTCGTTATGCTGGGGTCGAGAAGCACGGGCCCTGTTCCCCTCTGATAAACCGGTTTTGATTGCATTTATTCATTTCATTCCTGTATTACGCGTGCTCTCGATGAATGTCATGTCACCATGTTTATCTCCTCAATGTGTATCGGACCGCATTGCGGCTTTTATGGATAACCACTTGGTTTTACCCGCCACCTCTCTTTGTCTGATTGTTGTAGCCAAAATGGACTAAAGGCGGATCCGAATATGGTTGATACGATGATGTTCGGCTATAAAATCCTTGTTCGAAGGCTCTTGCCGTTAGTGCAAGCCGAGTTTGGGTTTAAAGTTTAGCTATAATCTGCTTGTTGACACACTTGAAATTCGACATACGAACTCGACTGTAAAAAGCGTTTGTTTCATTTATGCTTTAGGTTAGGCAACAGTGAAGATGGTGATGGTTCAACGCAAGAGCCCATTTCTATGCCGCATTCGCTTGGATCGCAGCCGTCTTCAAGTACTACACAAGACACACGAATAGGCTTATTGGTTTCTTTCTTCAATAATCCTTTCCCTTTTCTCCATCTCTTAGGTGGCACCTCATCCCTCCATTGCACAGACACGCATAGACGCAAATTAATAGCCACCTGGGCTGACCGTGCCAAGTCCTACTGGTTGAGTCTTCAGTCAAGAGTCAAGGCCGTGGTCTTTGTGGATCCCTGTCAGATGTTCACAAGTTTTCCACAAAGTGGTGTTGGATGGGGTCTTTTGGATCCAAATGCAACAGCTGCTACACTCTCTCTACAACAACAAGACATCGACCGACTCAGGGAGTGGTTCGCACAGGCAAGACTCCCCAACTGTGTCTAACATCGGATAGAGTTTAGAATTCTACGCCACCAAAACCGTTTGTTTGAGCATTTAGCATTATTTTATCAGTGTGCAACCACGTTCGTCATTAGCGTCTATTTCTTTTTAGAACGCTGCTCAATATGTGGCCTCAGAACTGGACGTAGGAGAACCATTAAGCAACCCGTGTTTCAGATCGAGGAGTCTTCCTACGTTTTCAGGAGGTATGACGTGCTAGTATGGGTCGTAATTAGGTTCGTTTGTGTTTCTGGGGCACTGCTCTCATTAATGTAGTGCCACGCGTTTAAGAAACAAAGCGAAATCTCAATCACTAATGTGGTTAGGGCTTAACTGTTGTTTTGATTCATAAATTGTTTGCGTACGTTATCATAGCATCGAACCACATACAGAGAGTTGTCTGTATAGCGGTTCTCTCAGGCGCACTACAGAACACCGATGTTGAACCCTATGCCAGTGAACTTGCTCCGAAATTTCTTGCTAAAATGGCCGCCCAATGGAGTATGCATTCGGTTGAGGGGGCGCGACGTGACCTCCTCAACCAAAGCTTTCACTTTAATTTTGCTGCTTTTGTGAGGTTCATATCACGTTACCTCCTGTCTGTTTTCCCCTTCTCAATAGGCACTAAAGAGAACGACCTGATGCACGTCTACGCGATGACCTCAGTTTTGGACTTCTTTGATCAAAAGTTACGCGAGTCTGCTGTCACTGGTGCTTAACACTCTTAGGATCAACGACGATGGGGAATTTTCATGCATCCATTTGCCTACCTATCTACCTCAATTAGTGTTGCTACCAAATCTTTTTTTCCGTATGATCAAATAAACTGCTATTGTTTAAAAAACCCGGAAGCACTGAGGCATTTACTGTGGGTGATGCCTGTTTCGTGAAAATACGGGATGCGTAAAGAACGACAAGTGGCCCACAATTGCTTAGCCTTCAAATATGCTACGACTGCATTAAAAAAAACAGGCACGATTCTATAGTGATTGCAGTGACTTTTCACGATCGAAGGGAACATCGAGAGTTCGGCTGCAGCTAAAGAGAGGATAAATGAATTGGGGATAAAATGTGCTCCGTAGATTGGCCTAGAGATGCGATAAGGAGGATATAAGTGATGGTACAGCCATTCTGTCAAAGACCACGCAAATCCTGGCTTCAACTCTGGTCCTCTTCGCGCGAGTCTACGAAACGTATCTGAAGGAGAAATATGGAGCATGAACCGATGAAAGGGGGACAAGGGTTACTGCTTCTTGAAGTCGCTTTGGCAGAAACTAGTCCTTTCAAAAAATCGACGAGGCATTACTTAGATAAGAGTAGACATCTCTGCGTCCATACAGCTAAATCACGAAAAGGGGGGTCTGGATGGCAATTCGACTCTGCCCGATTGAAGGCAAAGGGGATGAGGTAGCCGCAAGAAAAAGCACGAGAAACTATTCTTTACTTGCGTGCAAGACAATACTGCGGAAAGAGAACTGTAGCAAGTGCAAGTGAACCAATATACTGCTGTTCTGTGACGTTACTTGATGCAGCATTTCAGCAGGAAGTTCGCCGACGGAAACGTACGTATATACGACATCAGTGATATCATTCAATGATTAGGGAAGGGTAGCACAAAAACGTTGAGCCAGATAATGTGGAAAATTAGGCGGAAAACCCCAAAATTCCGGTAAGGTATAACCTTCAAGCAGGAACATGCAACCCAGCGGTAGGAATCGATGTTAAGAATATTGAGCGTGACGCCGCACAGAGCTTTTGGTAGGTAAAGCGTTTAAAAGCAACTCCTTAATAGGCGCATTTCACTGAAGCTTACATTTTAGCGGCGATGATTCGATAAAATGCCACTAAGATCAGGACTGAACTTTGAGTAAATGGCGAATGCAACTAATTAAACTGTTTGGAAACTTAGAAATATGTAAAAATGGAAAATTAACTAGCAATAGCGAAGAAAGCGTGTTAGGATCTGTGGTAGTTCCGTTGAGTCTGAAAACTAAGTAACAAACAAACTAACTAAGTAACAAAATGGTGAAAAAACACAGTGATGAAATACGTTTCCAAAAAAGAAAATCGCGATATTCACAAAAGTAAGCTGCATTTTGCAGACCGACGTAAGCATTCGCAGACAAAACAATGCAGTCTCATAGTAATAAGCACTACTTACTACACAAAAAACCAAGCACGACAGGGAGAAGCATAAAAGAGGCATTGCTAAGGACAACTTCGCCTGTCAGGTATGCAATATCATTAACAGATGCCCATGAAATGATTTACTAATAATAGTATATAAAAACTAAGAATATACAAACTTAAAGTTTGACATGAACTTTAAAACACAAATAATATGCAAAAGTTGTGTGGAATCAAAACTTGTTGGAGTGACGCACAACCTTGAAACTGGCAGTAAGAAGGTCAGTGGACACTAAGAAGGAATGATATTAGGGGTACAGACATTTATACAGGTATCAAAACCAACGAAAAATCCTGACTTTCACTTCTGTCGAAAAAAGCATTGGATAGGGTTCCCTATAAAAATAGGAGACATCAAGTATGCATGATCAAAAGGTGTGGTTGGCAATTCATCATGCCAAAGCTGCAAAGCTGAAAAAAAATACCAAACCAAGAAAGTGCCAATACTGACACAGACTCAATATAATACTAATATTAACACTAAAAGCAGTCCAACCATGTTTAATAAATGTATATATGGATTGAGGGACCGACTGACTACATCTATAATTCGAAGTCGCCAAAAAACCGTGCGTTCCCAAAGTGCAACGAATTTGTGCACGTGCGCAGTGACGACCTTGAAATGTAAACAAATAGAAAAGTCCTTGTTTCGATCATCCATATGGGTAACTATGATTCTTTCAGACTGCGCATATATAAGCAAATTTTTACATTACCGCAAGATGAATCACAAATAATTTTACTAAAAGTGGGAGAGTTTGTACTTATACAGAGCGATAAAATATATTTGCAGAAAATAAGCGCTAAATCCGAATCTGACTTAAGGTTGAAAAAACTAAAACGTCATTTGAGATCATTGTACTCTGAGGATGCCTTTTATTTATTACTGAAAGTCATAATATATGTCTGGCATCAAAGAAAGTTGTTAGGCTTTGGTTTAAGACCAATCAATTAATCAAAACACAGTTTTTTCGCCGTAATAATCACTATTCGCAAGGGCTGTTTAGCAAACAAAGCTGTGTAGTGTGGTGTCTCAAGGCTTCCCATAGGGTGAAAGAAGGCATAGGTGAGGTTGAATACTTTATTCCGAAGATGACAGGACAAATGTGGTCCGATGGTCAGCCCACGTGTACAAGGGCCAGACAAATTCTAAAGTGACCGTCAAAAGTCAGGTACTCACATAAACAAAGTATTACGTATATATATCCCTCTTCTCTTTTAAGTAACTGTCCCAGTCCATAGCATCCTAGTGGGTATTGCAAGAAAGCACTTAAGATCTAGCTGTCCTAGTCATCAGGGCTTATGAAGCTGAGGAAAATGTCCTTGATCTCAAGATCACTTACCACCCTCATCAACTTTAACTGGATCTCAAACCACATCCGTCTCGAAAACACGTCCTAATCTACGCCACTGATTGGCGTTATTCCGAATTTATCCACTTCACGAAATCGTGGACGTGTATGATTGACTGGTGTTTATCAGGCCCTTACATCTTCGATCTACAGTGACTCGATCTGACAATCGCTTTAGGAAACCACCATCTCCCAAATTCGTCGTTTATGTCCAAAGTATTGACCCTTCAACACTGATTTCGTTGCGACTTTGTGCTCGCGTACGCCTTTACATTGGCTCATATAACAACGCGAAAACTAAACACCCTATACTGCTGACCGCAGATGACGTTAAGTTGCCGCAGATTCACAGCGTTGCATGTGTTGTCTGTAACTCTTAAAGCCTCTTTTGCATGTTTAAAGCTGCCTTCCCTTTTGTCACTTTCCGCTACGTCTTGCCATTAGGCTGCTCGAAAACCCGCAGAAGTTTCGCTTCCTTCAGCCGTGGAGATGGACTGTACCCGAGTAATTGCCATACGAGCCCACCTCCACAGTATGCATCACATACTTGACGATGCTTGTCCCTCCCACCTCAATGCCTTTACAAGAGAATACCGTCACGTGCTTAATCACCATCTTGAAGAACTCCTAGTCCGTGTTTCGGGCAATTCGAATCAACAGCTGTGCCCTTTTGCCATCTAATTTTTCGGTAGTATGGCTTCGAGTTCAAACGCCCTCCTCTTCGGTGCCCTGACGATACTTGGAACACCTTTTGCGTTAACTACCAGAAAAGTTGTGCACGCATGACAAATATTACTGAACAGATTTCTATCTATGGCTGGTTTCTGAAATCTTGTGCTGCTTAAGCAGCACTATCCTTATTTTTGCCAATAGTAACCGTGTAAAAGGTGAAGCAGTAATAATCTTGTTGTAAATAATCGGAGAGACTTAAATATTTCTAACAGAATGAGCTGCGTCCAAATAGAAAAGACAGCTGTGCAACAGCCATGCTAGTTAACCTGGAAATTGAATGGAAACCGTTAGAGAGAAAACAGAGTAAGAGGAGAGTTTATGTTGTCATAAGGTATAGCATACTTAGAAACGTCAAATTGCATGAGGTTTTGGGCACTTTCTGATCGCAAGCTTAATCAGCTTACCGAGTAATTCGGTCCTCATCCCACGGAGCATTCAAAACCTGATAACTGGTCCCTCTTCCTGCTTAAACATCCATCCACTTAGCGACTTTGTCAGGTGACACCAGGAACGCACAACCAACTAGACACTGGGAAGGTGTTACCATGTTCCTTCGATTTGTTTTTTAGCGAAGACAATGAACATTACATGATTTTTGTTAGTGGTAAACTAAATTACGAGAAACTGAGACGCTCTCCAAAGTTTACATCATTTTTCAAAGGGGCACGATTAGCCGAAGATGCTACTTCCATAACAAGCTTTCTGTCCTTGCCTCCCCGACCTTCAAACTCTTTAAGCATATGAGCAACTTGGAAGGAGTATACTCAAAACTTAGAGTTGACGAGAACCAGTACAAGCTTAGAAACATCCAGGTACGAAGTTCCTTGCTGCCCTGAGTAAAGTCTATCCCTGCAATACCTTCCGCTACTTGATGATAAAGTAGGCGTGTGTCTTGCCTTCAGCATTTGAGTAACCTGTTAGCACATGTTGAAAAAAAAATTCCTACTCTCTATTAACTCCTTGCGAAAGGAGCGCTAACAGTGGTTCTTTATGAGCAAGTTGGCTGTGTAGACCATCTAAACCTTGCTCAGAAAAATCGCCTAGGAAGGCATGACGTGTAGGCGCTTAAAGAAACTAAGAGTCGCAGCCCAAGGCCTGTAAAGACTTCAATAAGGTTAAAACAACTCCCAACCTCAAATCCGACGTCGAAATCGACAGCGTACCGAGAGGTGAAATGAGTGAGTTGAGATGAGTGGTAATTATAAATGCAAGCTGGTTACTAGCAGTATGAGCTGACACGCGAAATATGGCAGCAGTCGACAACAAGAGAAGGCACCAGTATCAAAGCATTTATTCAGCCGATGCTGTACACTAACCAATGAAACAGCGGTTGATCCCAATTTTTGTAAAGATGGTTCTTACAAATGATAACAAACCAACCAACAATCAACAGTATAACAGTGGACCTAGCAGGTCTAAAGGAGTCCGTGTTACTATTACTATGGTCCTTTACCCTGTAAAATTTAGAAAGTACGAAGAAAGGAAGCATGTGACTAACTAGAGCATATTTCCCCGGCCGATGATACTGTATATAAGTACGGGAAGTTAAACGTATTACATAAAATTGCAAAATTCACTGAATGCTAACATGGAAACAATTGGCCTAAATGACTAGTGGGATTTGCACAAATACACTCATAGGCAACTTGAAAAAAGCAGCGCAAAAGATTCAGAAAACATGGGGAACTTATGTCAGAATTGGTAATAATGAATAAGTACATACAAATTCATTTCAATCGGTACGAAACAACCGACTCCACTTTGTGAATTCGGGTAGAAAAGGACCGTAGCTGAACGTGCATCGAGTTTGGCACGAAACAGGGACCTGTCTCACCCCAATCATCCGGAACTTCAGTATTTTTGTCAACGTAAACTAGAAGATTAAATGTGCCTGCAAAAAGAAAAGCAAATAACAAGGTTCGATAAAAACAAACAAGTCTCCATTTACAATTATAACCCCATAAAAGAACCAGTATCAAAGACAAACACCGATACCAACAATCGCTTACATGATGAAGACAAAACGGGCAGAAATGTAGAAGAAGAAACAATTTGACGGATGATTGCACTGAGTTCACTGTTCACGTGATCGACATTTTTTGGAACACTAATGGCGTTTCAGACGAACCAGACACTTACCTAGATGACTCTTCTTCTTTAACAACATTAAATTGCCAACGCTCGAAAACCTCATCAGTTTTGACGGATTTGATAACAAGAACAAGCCTTTTCAGAGAACCGCTCGACATCCATACTAAGGATGACAAACCGATCAAAGCAAAATTACCCTTTATCTGACTAATAAGACAGCTTAAATAGTCACTTAACTCTTCATCTGTTGTTATCAGAACAGAACGACCGAACTTCTTTACTTGCTTAAAAGAAGCTTCTGGGTAGATCCCACGAATGTAGAGAATATTATTAATGGCCACATCTCCAGAAGAATAGCGTAATAAACTAAGATGATTTACTAAAATATTCTGCAACCACCTCGATGGACCCTTTCAAATCAATTGCGTTCGACAACTGCTGCGACTGCATCACCAGCTTCAGCCGGAAAACTTCAACTTCCCGCATTTTACACACAACTTAAAGTGTTCGATAGGTTTAAACTATAATGAAAGCTTATCAAAGAGTACATTCGGTTAAATGTGCTGATTTTATCAAAATTAACCTTAGCTATAACACCCTGAGACATTCCAACAGATGATTAAAAGGCATCACACTGGGGAGACTATATGTACATTAAGAACAGAGGAAGAAATAGAGCCTTGGCATGGCTCAAAGTCCAGCCCAGGTGTTCGAGTAACCACAAGTCATCAAGTGGTAACATAACTATAGTGTCATGCTACCTCTCTTTCCTTGTGCGACGTCCACGATGCTCTCCTTGCTACGCCTCCCCACCAGCCATTACAACATATTCATTACTACAAGAAAGCACCTTCTAGTCAGTCGCGTAAGTCAACAGATTCCCTAAGACTGAGGAATGGTATCAGGTCCTCTCGGCAGCTTCAAATGGGCCTGAATTTGCGTTCGGTCTGAGGTCATGAATCGTGACGAGGAACTTCTGTTCACCATCAGTGGTGCTCTCGATTGGATCCTGGAACAATGGACTAAAACAGAGGTTGAACACGAAGGGAAGGCTCAAACAGAGTTCTGTAAAGTGGTTTGCTGTAGTATCATCGCCGATACCTATACTTATACGCAGTCAGGGGAATTTTGAAACGATGCATTTCCACATGGTTCACGGCCGTGTCGCATCAGCTGTTGATAGACTGGCTGTGAAACGTGAGCACAAGGTGGAATCAAACTCAGACATCAGTCTCGCCCTTTCTGTTGTGAAGAGGTCAGGTGTTTTCTTGCTCGGTGTGAATGTACTGTTTCTGCACCGTAGATACATGTCAAAAACAGTGAATACAATGATGGTAGTCATTAAAATGTCGAGTTCGGTTCCTGCTGACCCAGTATGGCACATTAAGACTTTCTATCATATAAAAGGCGTCACATGTATTTGAGAAGAAGAAGACGACGACGACGACGAAATGGGGTCTTGGCATGGCCTGAAGTCCAGCTCGAAGTAACTGTCATGCATTTGGTTGTCGTATAGACATAGTATTGCGGTAGCGTTTTCAAAATCATTCAAGCGTTGCTAATGGATCAAATTTTACAATAAGTTAAAGTGTGATCGGGCTGGGCTTGATTTGAGAAAACATTTACATCAATGGTGTAACACGAAGCGGTCACACAGACTGCCACTACACAATATTTTAGTGCTGTATTGCAATACTTTGTTTATTCGCCTACTCTTATGGGTGATGGCTCATGTCAAAGCCCCACCTCCACTCTCTCCTTAGACAGAGTATTTAGCCGTGTCTTGTGTCTGCTGTAAACGAATGGGAATTTCTAAAATGCTAAACATATAATGCATAATATCCTTATTTCTGGGTTTTACGGTGAACTTTTTCATTAGGAAGTCATTTCTCAAACATGACCAACAAAGTCATTGACGCCGTGATGAGCATCATTTGGCATTCCTAATAACATATGTCTGTGTTCGGTCATTTGTTGAGGCAAATTGCCTATCTTACGCCTATAGCAACGGCTATGAAGACCGGGAGTTAGTGATGCTCTGAGGTTTCCTCCCATTTACCAGTCGGAAGCATTAGGTTTGGGTGAATGCTTGTGTTTTAGGGAGAACGTGGGACTTTAGCCTGGTTCGAAAACTCGTTCACCCAGCCAAGGGCAAGGTGAGCTCCTAAGTGCCTCTCGCAGGCTGTTGAATAAACAGTCTCATAATGTGCACTCTACCAATGCGCCTCAGAGCTCGAGGACGCCAATCAGACACCTCAAAATGCCATGGATCGCAATTGTAACACTTGATTAATGTGGCTACTCGTATGAATAGCAGTCAATTTGGCGACCTCTCGCCTCTGCCATGTGGGATGGCCCTTAGGCTGGAGCAGCCTCAATGCATGTATTTTTAGTCATGCCTAACGCGAAGTCTCGGAACCTTACACCAATAGTCTTTTTCATTTAGCCGCTTCTAGCCTCAAAATGGCAAATAAGAGTCTCCGTAAAATTGTACTAACCTAGAATTTAGTTCTTAATTTTAGATGTTCGAGTGACTGCCAGCGTTCAACTCGTAGCCACTAAATAAATGGTGTAAGGTAATGCGGATTAGGCGAAATCCCAACTGCTCTAATGCTTTTTTTGCTTGATTGTTGACGGTTGTTATCACTTGTAGCCACATTGCCTCCACCGAATGGGTTGCCACTTTGCCAACACATTTCCCTTACCTGAGTCAATCAATATATTTTTTTGTGATGAAAACGAAAGGAAAAGTATACTTTTGACGTGCAAATTTAATAAGCACAAACAACTCGAGCCAGTGATATGAGGAGTCATCGGGAACCACTGGCAAATGAGGTGCAAACTCCATTCTTTTTCAATGTAAAGGGAGTCAATCCACATGACACTCCTAACAGCCCTACACTTGTAAATCTTTCTTTTTTCCTTTTATGTGAAAAAATCATCCCAAAAGGGAGGAAGAAAGAAGTCGAAGTGCAATGGCTGACGTGGGTCAGCTTTCCATTTTAACGAGCTGGTGTACGGGGCTCCTCCTCCGTCCCGAGCGTACGACACGAGTTCCGACATAACTGAACGCACTCTCTATATCCAAGCAGGCTTTGCACATAACAAGGGCTTGACAACACGACCAAACACTTTCTGCTCCACTTACTGTCCCATTCGCTGTAAGAAAAAGACAAGCAAAAGCAATTTTAATGGCTTTAAGTAAACTCACCTTGCAGTCGAAAATTTTCAATCGCGGCATGTGAACAAATCAAAATAAATTGCAAAAAAGTTATAAATGAGCCTCCTTAATGCTTAATAGGGCTTCGTTAGTGAGAAATAGCCATTAAATGTAATTTGGTCTGAAGCACCGACGTTTGCTTAGCATAATACGCACTTCAATGCAAACGTGGGTGCAACGATAACACAATAATTACTTATCATAACAATTATCATGGGTAGAGGAAGGCAGATTAACAGGGAAAGGAGAAGGCGATTGTCATTTGGCATGACTCGAAGGTAGGATCACTCGGCAAAAGCATTGTGGCCGCCGTGGTTAAGGACGTGCATACGAGCAGTAGAATCAGGAAGCGTTTCACGGCCTCCATCTGTCTCTAAGCGACGTCCTCTACGCTCCCATCGATGTACCTCCGATCCAGTCATTGCAAGCCAGCCAAACCAGTCAAGACTACTTATAACTTTCAGCATGCTTAATTAAACTTGACGTGCTATTGGATCTGAAAATGGGCCTTAGAGACTGGCGATTCTGTTGACCATAATGTGTGTCTTGGACAAGGCCAATATATACAGGAAGAAATATTCCAAAACACTTCACGCCGGTTTAGAGTGAATGTCGAATGACAACCTCATTCTCAGGTATACAGTGCTAAGCGTAGTTGTAATGTCCAATTTGCTCGGCTACCTGTATGACCGACGGACACTGTGGCATTCATCTTGTTTCTCATGAGTTGGACTTCGAGATAACCCAAATCCTACTGTTGTACTTTTACTGTGGCCGTCTATTATCTGGCGTTAAGTTTGGTATTCGTCTAGCCCTTGTACGCGCGGACAGGCCTTTGAGCCAAGCTTAGGCTTGACCCCTTTCCCTCCCTAGAATACATGTATTCAAGTCTACTCAATGCCTTTTTCTATCCGATGAGAAGTCTGGGAATGCTACACCCATCGTTTCTCCTTCTCTCTATACTGTGCCATCCTTCTTCTACCATGTAAGAAGTGCTGGGACGTTAAACACTAATTAGTTTCAATGTGCGCAGTCAAGCAAGAGAAAATAAGTTGATCTTCCGGCGTGTTTTAGAGGCTACAGAGGCAATGCTGTCACTGAAGAGACTGCAGTCGATACTGGTCCTAGAACAAGCAAAATAATATTATAACTCCTTACATTGGATGTTTATTTTAGCGTCCAGAGACTTCCCACTGGGTGGAAGGAGGCAGTGAGGCCGAATACATGTATTCCGAAGAAAACAGAGCAATTGGGCCTGGGCTTGGATCGAAGGCCAGCTCACGAGTATAAGGGCCAGATAAGTTCTAAAGTGACCGTAAAACGTCATGTTGCCACATATGCAAAGTATTACATTCATTTTACTAAATTTGAAGTCGTAACAACTCCAATATTAAATGAACATCGAAATATAAGGTTTGTCGTCAAATTCCATTGAAGGCATAAGTGGCTGATTTTATTCGCGCCATTAACGTTATGACACCTTACTAAGATGCTCGATTTCTTTTTTGCAAGAGGATTTTGCGGCCATATACCTCCTGTAGGATAGGGGCTTTAAAAGTAGTGCTTATAGATATTGCCCATCCCTTTGTCTTAGTACATGCAGTCGGCTAAATTCTTTGCCCTTTCGCACCCAAGATGGAAGGTCGGAACGCTGCAACCATATCACGTTATTCCAATTGTAGTGTCCCGCTTTAGATTGGGGATTTCCATCCCATTGAAGGTAAATATAATCGCTGGTAAATGATTGTTACCAAGACCTTGAATTATGCGAGCTTTGAATAATATGAATTAGGCATAGACTGTTGAATTCCAGTGGATAGATTCCAACGAGTCGTTGCGTAAATTATTGGATTAACACTTTGTTTCTTTAGTACTGCTGTTTAAGGTTTCAAAAGTACCGCAGTGTTTGATTACTCCTGTGTCTCAACCCTTAACAATGAAGCCTTGCTCTTCTAAAGGTCAATTTACCTTATATGATCTATAACAGCAGGCACATAAGCATAACACTTCTGATCCCATACAATGTACTATTTTTGGGTTTAAGCACATGACAATGTTAAAACTCGGTTTAATGAGAGCAAGTTGCTAAATAGATAAAGATATATCCACAGTGTAGCCCGTCATTTTTGACTGGGACACTTTTATTTAGAATTGTTTGCATCGGCCAATTAAGTCATCCTTCCCTCGTGTCGCAATTAAGTTTTGTGTAGCTGTCACGTACGCTTGTGCTCCGTAGGATGGCCGCTCTTGTTGACTTCGTTAAGAACTTCAAGCCTATAGACACAACGATCAAGGCATTGTTTGATGCCGACCCTCAGAGGTTTCAAAAATACAGGTAATACTTTGAACCAACCCGCCATTTTTCGCAGTCGGCAGCTAGAGTTCCCCGAAGGGAAATTATTGGTGGATTACTCGAAAAATTACGTTGATGAGCCAACAATGAAGAAGCTGATTGAACTTGCCAAGGCCTCACATGTGGAGGAGTTGCGTGATGCTATGTTTCGGGGAGAGAAGATTAATTTTACGGAGAATAGGGCTGTATTACATGTAGCACTTCGAAACAGGTCGAACTCTCCCATTCTCGTTGATGGTCAAGATGTGAGCATTCTGACTTTGTCCTCATTTGTTTCCTTAGGTTATGCCTGAAGTAAACAGGGTGCTTAAGCATATGCGCGAATTTACCGATGGTGTACTTGTTGGCAAACTGAGAGGATTCACAGGAAAAACGTTTACAGATATCGTAAACATTGGCATTGGCGGATCTGATCTGGTAAAGTCTTTGCATATTTCGACTTATGATGTATCGTTTTTTTAAGTACTCACCTATTCGCAGTTCAAGTCATAAAGTGAGGTTTTTTTAGGGCCCTGTTATGGCAACGAATTGTCTGAAACCTTATGCCACCAAATTGAAAGTTCATTTTGTATCCAACATTGATGGGACGCATATCGCCGAGACCCTCAAACACGTCCGGCCTGAAACGACTCTTTTCATAATCGCTTCTAAGGTTAGAATTGGTATATTCCATTGTGCAACTACTTCCTAAAAACGATGTGATCGTTTTATTTCTGTAGACCTTCACCACTGCTGAGACCATGACGAATGCCCAATTCGCTAAAGAGTGGTTATTGGAGCAAATGAAAGATGTAAGCCTTAGCCCATTCCTTTCAGTCGAATCCATTGTACTTAGGTGTTTGACGTTTCTACGCCAGGAGCTTTTGGCGTCATGGATTAAATATGATTTGTTTTTCTTTTACGTCCCTTTCTGCAGCCTAAGGCCGTGGCCAACCACTTCGTCGCTTTGTCAACAAATATCAAGGCTGTAAAAGCCTTTGGCATCAGTGAGGCGAATATGTTTGAATTCTGGGATGTACGTGGCATTTGATTGTCTCTCTTTTTGTTCTTATGCCTTCCGAAATTGTAGTCGAGGTTCAAGTTCTAACATTTGTTTACTACCATTTGCGTGGAACTTGCGGAAAACTTTGCGAGGGTTTTAGTGCATTGAATCATTTTATCCTTGCAGTGGGTTGGCGGCCGCTACTCTTTGTGGTCTGCGATTGGATTGTCTATTGCGCTTTATATCGGTTAGTATTTGTTTTGAGTGTGCGGTATACTTTTACTTTCAATGCTTTGAGGGGCCAATTTATTGCAAACACCAACTTTTGTACTCATAGGTATAGACTGCGGATTTTTAAGCTACATTCTTATTTCTTCAGGTATGGACAACTTTGAGCGCCTCCTTGCCGGTGCACACGCCATGGACAAGCACTTCAAGGAAGCTCCTATTGAGAAAAACGTACGATCTTAAATATCCACGACCTCGAGAACCATAGTGTTACTGTTCCGCTACTATTGTTTGCTCTTTCGATTTTCGTATGATAAACAGACCCATGAAAAGGTACCATCTAGGCTTATTGTCGCGCGTATTTCTACAAATTGTCTCTTAGTTGACTCTTCATATGCTTAATTTGAGTATGAACTTTTTGCTGTGCTAACAAGGTTTTCCTGTCTCTTGTCAGGTGCCGATGATCTTGGCCCTGCTGGGTGTGATGTACATCAACTGTTACAATGCAGAGACTCAGGCTATACTGCCCTATGATCAATATATGAATCGCTTCCCGGCCTATTTTCAACAGGGCGACATGGAATCGAACGGCAAGTACGTGACTCGTGATGGTGTCACCGTCTCTTACCATACCGGCCCCATTGTTTGGGGCGAGCCAGGCACCAATGGACAGCACGCTTTTTACCAACTCATTCACCAGGGCACTCTCCTCATTCCTTGTGATTTCCTTGTTCCTGTCCGATCTCACAACCCTATCAAGAATGGAGAGTTTCACGAGGTCTGCTTTCACCTTTTCCCTCTCTTCGTTTTCGCGCTTAATTACTTTATTATGGGGAATTCCATCAGTATTTTTCCGTTACCACCGTAGATTTTGCTCTCAAACTTCTTGGCCCAGACGGAGGCTCTGATGTTAGGCAAAACCCCTGAGACGGCGCGGAAGGAATTGGAAGCCCAGGGTCTGTCTGGTGACAAGTTGGAAATGCTGGTAAAACACAAAACTTTCCGTGGTAACAAACCAACCAACTCCATTATCTTTACTGAGCTGAATCCCTTCATGCTGGGCGTCATCATCGCGATGTACGAACACAAAATCTTCACACAGGGCGCTATTTGGAATATCAACTCTTACGATCAGTGGGGGTAGGTTCTAGTTGATCTTTTCTACTACTTATGGTATCAGTTTTCTTGATTTTGAATGCCTTTAATAGTTATTTTAATCAGACAGTTAATCAAAGTAGTCCTCATTTTGCTTCTACGGAATTATATCATACTGTCAGTTTTGCAAAATGATTGGTTCCTTATGTTGTAGAAAATGCGATCAGTGTAGTGCTGGCCGTTTATATGGCACTCAGATTTACTTTATTTTTAAACTTTCAGCGTTGAGTTAGGCAAGGAGTTGGCTAAGAAGCTGCAGCCTGAAATTCATTCGGAAGATGTAGTAACCTCCCATGACGGGTCAACCAACGGCTTGATTGCTTTCATCAAGCACAACAGGAAAGACCATTAGTGCGAATGTACGCTGCTGCGTTGCTGGCACCCCTCTTTGCTACCACAACTCTGGTTCTTTTGCTTGACCTCTCCAGTTTCCACTTCTGTGTAGGCTGATTCCTTTTATCCTTTTCTTTGGTTACCTAATTTCTGACGAAATATGTGTCAGCCCTTTTATTTGACTCTAAGTAAATAAATGTAACATTTTCCGGCAATTTTTCGCTATTCAGAATACTTTTAAAGATGCTTATCGCAAAATAAGGTGTAGTTTTTGCTTCTGCTGTTTCATAATGTGACCTGGCGTATTGATGGTCCTTTTTAGTCGTTTGACTGAGCTAGTAGCCATGGCATCTTGTGTAACACATGCAATTTCATGATCTGTGGAAGTTAATAACGTCTGAACTCCTAGTTTTATTAACCACTTTCTGGCTTCTCAGGCAGTTTCTTTCTCAACTGGGTTGATACTAGGGCATGGACTAACACCAGTTTAATCTGCCCCCCCCCCTTCCCCGGTCTTGAATGTTTGAGGCGATGTCAATGGGGTTAGCGCTCTAGGCGAATGACGGATTATTTTTCATGCAGTTGTGGGTGGTGTGGGTTGTAATTCGGTTCGCCTTGTTTGGTGGATTACTTGCGATGGCTACTATCTTCCTCAGGAGGGAGTGATGCAGTCTTTAAAATAGCATTGACTCAAGGTCTACTTCTGAACAGTAAAGATGTGTTGAATTCATATCAAGTCGATTGAAACGGTAGAAATGGTGCTTGAACTGCGGATTTCTTCATGGAGGTGTTGGTGATGACTGAGGATTGAGTTTCTTGAAGGTGAAATTAAAGACAGATGTGCTTTATTCCTCGTAGGTTGTCTCTGAATGGACTCGCTTTGAGTACAAAGATTTAGCGACTGGAAGTAAAACTACCGAAAAGTTTACCAGTGACGAAGACCTCTTGTATCTTCTCTGAAAGGCCTACTTCATCTGGGCGGAAGGGAGAATGTCGCATATCGACTTTACTGCCACCTCCATACGAATCCGATGATTGGATTTGTAATGTTTGGTGCCACTTCTGTTGTTAAAGGCTTCCTTCTGAGCTATAGTATTGTGTAGCAGTCGAAAGTAGACTGTATTGACGACCCTCCTATTGGAGGTAATCACAGATTTCCGCATACTCAGATTGTGCTCTTCTTCTTTCTCGTCGAGCCTTAGCATTCAGCAGCGGAAATCGGCATATGTTTTAAGTGGCCTCCGTTTTCCCTTCTCTCGTTACTAGAGCGGCTTTCCGAGTCCCCTCTGGAGTTGAACAAAGGCATTGCACCAAACCGAACCCTGAATGCTCATTCAGAAGTCTTCAAAAGAAGGGGACAAGGTTCTAGACGCTCGCGCGTTCAAATTGGAAAGTGGGTTGAAAACAACGCGACGTCGTAGCTACACTGAATTCCCTTCAGCAACGATCAAAAATGGCGTCAAATTGCTCCGGCCATTAAGCACTGAAGGTTGTGACACTTTCATGAAATGTGGGTAGCTGTCAATGTATGTAAACAGGGAACTTTAGTACTGATTCGAAGAGAAGGGCGTCTCCTTGGCTCGTCCACTGCGATCAAGACAATGTAAACAGTCAGATGGTCGGTGTTACTGACTTTTTTGCCACCTTCAACCCTCTAATGATCTGTGCATCCGTAAAACTCTATCCAGTCCAATGTTTGTAACTATCGAGGATGTTTTGCGTGTATTTATACAAAAAACAAAAAAATGACTGGACAGGAACTGGAGCGCTGTTTGTTCAATCTTGTGTTTTGTTTTGCGCACTCTCAAGGATTCGCTTCTATGCTTCTGTTGCAAGGCAGCGTAAGTGATACCCCTTTCAAGCCCTTCTGGGCAAATGGAATGCAAATGCTGTCTTCGAATCAAACACCCTCGCTTCAATCCCCAAACGCCAAGGTGCGAAAGGATTTGTCCTTTAGCCTTCGAATGTACTCCAATTTAATGGTCTGCAGAAGTACGACAAGCAGCTGAACTGCCTATGTTGCCTTCATCGCCTTACCAGTTGCATCGAACCAAGGTAGACGGAGCTGAAAGGGTTGCCATGGGACATCGTCGCCTCCTCCACTCCTCCACCAGTTCGAGCTCCCCCCAAATCGGTGGGGTCGGACAGAGCCTTGACTAAAACAAGGTGGCAAGGAAAATTAGCTGTGAAACCCTACACTTGGGGAGCAATTTCGAGTGCCAACCTTTGTTCCTCAGATTGGCCAATGATAATGATGTCAACCTCCTTCTCTCACCCCTTTACACAGGCTTGTAATTAGACAAGGCATTACATCTCATCGAGGTGCTTTGGGGGATCGGCGGTCAGGTGCATGGAAATTTAATGACTGACACGGTTGTCACGAGAGGTTGATCGGAGAGGCGAAATTTCAAAGAAGAAGTGGAAATGTGCAATGTGGCATATCTTTGCTTATTTCGAGAGGACATTAAGGGGATCAGAAATTGCACTGCGTTGCCTCTGTTGTTTACGCAACTCGATTTTGTGAATGGGTCACTTAGGGACACTGCTTTTATACCGTTGTGACTTCAAGTCCGGCCACTTTGTCATCCTTTGTCCTTAAGGAAGTTGAATTTTTAGTCCTGTTTGATCACAATCCACCCGTGTGATGCAACGAAACACTGGCATGGATGACTAAATTCCTGTAAGAAACAGTCGAAACTAGCTGACGGAGTTTGAATGTGTCGCATTCCTACCAGACACCACAACAATGCAGTTCAAACGCGTGAACCCGACATGAAGGTATCTACAAGCCATTTTCCTCATTTCTTGTAGTTCCCGTCTAGCATTTCTTCAGTCTCTTGCGGACTTGACCGTTTGAGCGTGAAGGAGAGGCGACGGTGGCAGTAATTGAGGCGCCTAGTGACAGGTTTATGGCTTCTAGAAATGGGATGCTTTAGCTACCTCTCCATTCATTGAAGGGCGGTGGTGTCCTAGTGAGGAGGTATTTTCCTTTAGCTACCATCTCGAGGAGGCAGTAAGCTACAATTAGTCTCCCTTTATCAAAATCAGACGAAAGGAGGATGTCTTGTGATGCTAGTTTATAAGGTGGTTAAGAAAAGCGCTGCATTGACTGCAACAAAGTCCATCTGCTTTTTTAAGGAGCCTCTCCATTCCTCAACTTTTGACGCTCCGCTCCTGCGACGCTCCAAAATACAAAAGAAGGCGATTAATAAACAAATAGGGAAGGTCCTGATGCAAAGACCCCAGCAGCTGTCCTGACCTTGGGTGGAAGCTTCAGCGCCTAAATGGCGGCTCAATGCCATTCAGTCATTCAACTGATTGCGACTTGATCTCCTTTAAAGTCGAGATTAGACTCACAGCCTCGAAGTTTGCACTTCCAGTTTGAATGTTCGATTGCGGTTTGCGTGTCTGAGTCTGCAGTCTGTTGACCTTCCAAAATGAGTCATCAATCCACAAAGACCTTGACACGAAGGTTTTTACGCATGCGCGAATAACCAAAAGGAAAGCTGGACGTTTCAGGCGGTGACAGTCTCTCACATCTTCATTGTGATTCACCTATTGGAGTGATCCAATAAATGTGTAGAAGGAAAGGCAAGGAATTCGCATTCTCCCCCTCCTCATCCAGTGGCATCAGTAGTTTTTGTGTGGTTGGAAGTAAAGCCAAACGGTAAAGGAAGCAAATACTCTGCCATGCAGCATCCAACTTATGGACCGCGATTCAAGTCTATAAGCTTCCCTGTTTGAGGCACCAAAGAGCGAGGCAAGAAGCACTGTTGACCGTAGTAGGGAGGTTGAGACGGCGTCATGGTTAAAGTTTCTTCAACCAAGCCCAGCACAGAGGTGGAAATTGAGGTCAAAACTTTGCCTCTCTTTTTGGAATGTCAAGATCTCTCACCGTCTCGTCATCTGGTTAGGGGTTCAACGTTCTAAGTGCTATTGCGTTGATGGACTTCGGGGAAACTCGATCGCTAACAGCGACCATTGGTGCGTCTGTTTGCAGATAAAAATTGACCACCAAGCTTACTGCCATTGTCATGAATAGGGTTTCGAAGTAAATAGCGATCGGTTGAAATGTCGGAGAGGTCCTGATTCACATTTAATAGCGGTGTCCATTTTGGTGCTTTGACTTACCGATAGTTCTGCCAGCGTGTGTCCAGTTTTGACTCTGAAGAGTGTTTGAAACGCTGGGAGTGTTGCAGACTTTGTTCAGTCTTGACTGTGTCTTCTTAGAATCCCAACATCTCTAATGGAATAAAATGGGAAGGATTAGAGACGACCGCTTATATCCATCTTCTAAGCAGTAGTAAATTTGGCCTCATTGCTTGTGAGGAAGTGTTTGAAAAAGCTTCGGTTGCAGGAATTTTATGCGGGTCAAGGAGCGTCCACTTGCATTGGCACTGATCAAATGATCAACACAATCAAGGCCTGGTGGCAATCTCAACTCCCATGAGACCATCTCTGTACATATCGGCATTTTACATTCATACTGTCAAACGATTGACTCGAGTTTGACATTTGAGTCCTCTTTTCGACCATTTGGTAGGCACAACTGAGTGCATGCAAATATGGACGAGTGGAAGTGTGAAGGGAACTAAAATACGGTGGATCAGTCACTTGCTGGTTGAAGGTGTCCTCTTGAATTCTACATGCATATACAGTCAAAATGTAGTCGCAGGAAACCCAACCGTCTTGGCGTCATTGTGTTGGCTTTGGACGCGTGTATGTACCATTTGAATCACCCAGTGGACGCAGTGTTGTCCCTGTTTCATTTTGTCACTCCTCCGTGGGACCAGCAACTGGCTCCGTACGCACGAAATTGGGGCCATCAAACCTCCATTTGCTCCCTTTCAGCATTTACCAGGTTCATTATCTCATCTGCATCTTCAACATGCACTTTGGCAGCTTGCCAACACTCATGACAAGATTTTTGTCCATTTTGTCTTTCTCGACTGAGAGATAGAAAAATATAATCCACCACACGAAGGGCCACGTCTGACAGAATATGCAACTTTGGCAACCACTTGCAGCCAACCCCAGTTTCTCCAAAGTGATGTAACAAGTGGTGTTGGAATCGCTCTGCCTTCAAGCACACAAACTTCTCATTTCCCTTATTCAGTGCCTCTGCCTCAGCGAGGGGAGCCCGAGGCCCTCTGTACACCACCACTATGCACCACGACTCCGAGGCGGTCTCGGCGTCACACTGTTACACCCAAAAGAGGGTTAGGCACAATTTGCAGTCACACTGCTGAGGCCTCTTGCCGTCACACCAAGTCTTCATATGTCAATAAGTGTGTTTTCAATCTGAGGGCGTCTTCTTGGCTTTCACTTACTTTGAGGCTGAGGTGTTTCATTTTTTTTTTGTTCCATCGTTAAATAAAGTGACATCCAAAAATGCGTGGGATGATTGTCTCACTTTCATTTCCCACTGCGCGCAAGTAAAAACTGTAGATTGCACAGATGGAGTGATAAAGATGATGCTGGTCAAATGCCCTCTCAGTTCTTATTCAGGTCAGTGCTTTTGCATTATTAGGAGAGTTATGTGGAAACCTTGGGCTTCTCCCTCCTACAGCAGCCTTTGCAGTCACGTACTTTTGTTCATTAATCTACTCATGAGTAGAGGAAGTTGTGCCATGCCAAATGACAAGTTTGTTGGACTAGGGAATGCACACAAATTGACCTAAACAAAGCGAAAATCGTCCGGCCAAACACCCCAAACAAAATGCAATTGAAAATTGATGCAATTAAAAATGGATTTTAGGGAAGACCGAATTTCGTATGGAGTGGAAGGAGGTGTCCTTCTATGCAGCAGTTTTACACAGTTTTGTCGTGGAAAGGGGTGCATGAATATCCAACCTACTTGAAAATAGTACATTTGGTTGCAGTTTTGACCTCATGCAAGTTGTTGATTGGTGGCTCAAACGAGATTGGAAAGCGTGATCCAACTGTGACGGAGGTTTGCACCACCCTTCAGCCTACGTAATCTTGACAGCAAGGTGAGCTAACAGGGCATCCTGTCGTCAGAGAACATTAACATTCTGCACTACTACAGACACAACTGACATCTTTGCACCGTGACAGCAGGTCAAGATCAAGTGACATTCATTACGGTTTGCCATTCCATTAGAAATTATCAATTTGACTTTGTTGGGGGAGGGCGGGGGGAGATGGGAGGCTCCGATTTCAATGCATCAACACACAAGTTTGGGAATGTTATTTACTGAAGCTATTAAATTGCCCAACGGGAGGTTAACAATCACCGCATGAATGCGTGCATTTTAAGAGAGACTTGTCTGTTCGTGCTCTCGACTATCGGCTGAATTTCGTAAACACGCATGCAGGCGTAGCCCATCGGTTAAGTGTTCCTGTTGGCTGCCCCAGCCCACGATTTCATTCCATCACCATCGGAATTTCAAGACTCAAAAGGTGAGGAATAAGCCTACATTCATTGCAAGTTGCAGTCTAAAGTGTACGATCATGTGGTTGGGCTCAAAGCCAGGTGAGTAAAAGACACAGAAAAGGAGGATCAGAGGAGGAGGAGGAGGAGGAGGTGATGGTTAAGATAAAGCAATGAGATAAAGGAAAAGAGGAGCAGAAAGTTTGATTTAATGCGGAGGTAGATCCCACAGGAAGATGCCGCCGTCCTCACTGACGGAGACAACGAGGCGCTGGTTGGGTGCGATCATGAGACGTGTGATGGGTGAGGAGTGACCGAGACCCACGTGTGTCACGTCACCCTCGCTGTAGCGCCACACCTGGGGAGGGACAATAAGCATGAGAATAAAGTACTTCAATTGTAAAATGTGAGTCTGCAGGGCATGACAAAAATGTTCTGCTTTCAATGGATTCCATTCTATGACACGCTGCCAGCAGCCATTTTATTCAAGCCTTGGTAACTTGACCGCATACTGCATTGCACAATTAACTTTCTTCAACGGCAGCAAGTGAGTTTCAATGATTACAAAATTTGGCTGCACTGACTCCGAACCATGAATAACGCCAGGTGATGTCCGCCAGAATGAGCTTCGAGTGAGTTCACACCCGTAACTCCCTTTTAATGTCCAAATGCCGCAGTTGATCAGTTAAAAATTTATTAAAATGCCTCTTGACGAAGAGTCTCAACCCAAAAGGATTCTGCATAGCTGCTAAAGTGTTTTTACAATCGCACTCGTACAAAAGTGTTTTTGGTAAATAAGCTATTGGATAAATTGTGATCTTAATGTACGGGCGTAAACAATGCCATCCACCTAATCAGCTTAATGCACCTTATCAACACCAAATGCGCTCCTAAACAGAAGCATTTTGATTACATTAAGAAGACGCCATCTCATTTACTATAAAAAATGGAGCATAATTGGAGTCAAAAGTTGGTAAAATTTGTCAACTACGAGTAAATAAATGAAGCTTTATGATTCGCTCTTGAATATTCAAAGAGGTAATGTCGTCTATGTTGCAGATTTGAGCGTTCAAACCAAATGGAACCGAGCTGCTCGTCCTGACGATATTGGTCGCAGGAAGTAGGCAGTAGTATCACAATTTCCATCACAAATCTTCTACTGATTTACATTCAGTAGCGTATTACCAACACGACATGCGATGCGCCATGACAACTCGGTGCTGTAGACATGTTTAGACCATATTTTCAAGCGCTACAATCGTAAAATTAATTTCAATACATGTAAATTGTGCCTATCTGCCTTATTTCAGTAACGTCTTGAACGAAATAATGCTAAAGGGCGTATGAATGAAGGGAAAGCTGAGATGTGGTTGTCTCACTTTGACAATTTTATCATCACCGCCGGTGACGAAGATGACGCCATCCTTGGTGAGGTCCATGCCGTTTATGGAGCCGGAGCGGGAGGCCTCTAGCTCTCGGATCTGAGAACCATCGTACATTTCCCAGTAGCCGATCTTTCGATCCGTGCCTGCAGTCAACAGTTGTACTTCACTGGTGTGGAAGCACACCACTCGGAAGAGAGTATTCGCGAATATTATCTGCAACCGTGTAAACTCTCTAAATGAAAACCGAATGAAAACCATCCAATGACCGGTAGATGGTGAAGAAATTCCATGGATGACACTAAAAGACTAGTATTTTTATGTAAATTAAAATGGGTAGAGTGAATAAGGACTTCGATAAGCAGTACAATTTAGTCATTTGGGCAACATAAAATATTTGCAATTGGGAGCCAAAATCCGAACGTTAAACACTGTCAACTACTGAAGAACAATGCTTTGAGCCCTGCAGGTGGGTTGGTCAAGTACAGTTTGCCTAAAACCCGACATGTTTTGTGATAATAGCACGAGTGCCTACCATTAACTCCGTCGAAAACTTTGCCAAATAAATAGGGACTAAGAGGGACTGCAATTCTCTAGTCGTATTACTGAGAAAGTCAAAAGGGATGTAATTTCCCGCCGACCAGTGAATCACTTCATTCCTTGCACTTTTACATTCCATTTGAAACAGTTGGTGATATTTATGGCATCGTATAAAAGGAGAGACGCCGACGTTTATGCGCTCTTGGTAGCAGCCAAGCCCTCAACATAGAGAAAACAAATTGTAGAAGGGAGGAGACTGACTGCTAAGCTAATTTCTAGGAACATGAAACACCTAACTGCAAACAAAGCACCACTGGCATTATCCTGTGGGCAATTTATTTTCAAAGGGCAACTATGGAAAAGGCACCAGGTCTACAAAACAGGATTTTTTGTGTAAAACAAAGCAGCTGAACATGCACGTTAAGTGATCAAACGGAGAGCATCAGCAGTTTAGCTTTAGTGCTGAAGCATTGCAAAACCTTTAAACCTGTAAATGGAAACAAAAGTAATGGAAGAGGAAGGAAAACAAGCAATTTGCCCAAGTCTACCAAAGCATACACGCGATCGGAACACCAAAGTGCTGCATAGTTTAAAGGCATTGTAAAAGCAATATTCAAAAGCAAAGACTGGTTTTACTGAGGGATTAGTTCTTTCACCTTATGTTACCTTTCAGGTTAATTGGAGCCCTAGAGAAGTGCAGTGGGACTTACACTAAACTCCAGACAATGCATGTGCCATCAGCAGAGGAGGAGGCACAAGCTTTGTCATCTTTGGTGATTTTAATGCAGGAGACGGTGTTGGCGTGCTCCTTTAATGTGGCGAGGAGGGTGGTGACAAACATGGGCTGCTCCACCTTCGCCCCTCCCTCTGCTCCATCACCGCGGCAACGGTGAGCGTACAGACGGTTCTTGCCAGACACCTTGCTTATTATCTCACGGACCTGCCAGACGCGCACTTGACCCTCGCCACCGCCTGAGATGAGACGACCACCGTCAGCCGTTGCTGCAATTGCTGTCACTCCCTTCTTGTGCGCATCGTTCACCGTGTACATCAGTCTACCCGTTTCCGGGTAGAAAGCGCGGATTCTGCTGTCGTCCCATCCTGTAGTACCGAACAACCTCATAATTAAGGCCTTAGAAGTCATTCATGCAGTCTACACGCATTGCAGATGAGCTGAATGCACCAAAAAATAAGTTAAGTCCTGCAAAAGAGATTGTTTTGCACTCTAATCAGCACATCGTGCTAGTATCTGAGCCTGCAACGGGAGAGTCATGTCACGACATGAACATTGGACGCTAAAAAGGCCTTCATACTGTTCATACATAATGCTTTGTAAAAGATGCATGCTTCAACGCGTATCCTGCTAAGCTCTACTGCCGTCCAAACTTTCGTTAACATCTGATGGTATTTTGGTGGCAAATAGAATCTATTTTCTTTGTGCTTGATACATATTAGATGACAGGAGGCAAAAGTGGTAATGAGACTTCCAAAAATAGTAAATCGACATGCGAGCACTAATTGGATGGGCTATGGAGACAACACTCCTGCTGGTGTATGCTAAAAGGCCACTGCAACTTCAAAATGCACAAAATCGTCAGATCAATTCACCGGAGACTATGGAAGTTCCATCCTTTGCGATGTCAATGGTAAAGCAAACCAGATTGGGAATGTTGATTCGTAGTAGCTCCTGTTGACTCGGCGTATGAAAGACTCGGATGTCCTCATAGGAGCTTGTCACAAATAAATCGGAGCAGTTTCTAAATGAAGAAAGTACAGCCATGAGAAGGCGGGCAGCAAAGCAGTTGAGTCAGGTGGTGAACGTACTCGGGAAATTTGATGTCGTTGATTGGAGAGTAGTGACAGGAATTGATGAGTTCGTGCTCGAAGGTCGAGCCATCAAAGCGGTAGATTTGACTTTTGTCCGTTGCCACGAAGAACTGGTGACCTTCACCTCGCAATGTTATAGCCTTTACAGCGCCCATTACTGAGCGCTGCATTCTACATCCGTAATGAAGTTTAAGGAGAAAAGCATCACTCACGGTGTCCTTCCAAGCGTCAACTCACAGTTCATTTTATTAACCCTGTGTCCAATGCTTAACATTTGCACTATCCCCTCACCGGTGCCAATGATTAGGGAGCTGTCGTCGACAAGGCAAAGCGAAGTGATGCCCAAACTGAATTTGTCCCTTTCTGGAAAAACCAGCTGAACCAAGGCGGAACTTATTCGCACAGCCAAGATATCGCCAGATGTCGTGGCACAGAAGAGCAATTCGTCTTGATTGTTGGGCTACAGTCAGAAAAGTAGCATAGACATATGCAGCATTTAGTTTATAATCCAATGTTTCAGGACAGATGGCGCCTTTCTCATCATCGTGTTCAGGCATTGTTGGAAACAACAGTAAATGGACTGCGAATCGCATGTGCGTTTTGATGGCTGTATCAGTTCAAGTGAGCAAATCTCGCAAACTGGTCGACAGAAACTATTTATTTTTAAAAAGCCCAAGAAATACACGATTAACCTACACGAATTCATAGAAACAGAGGTGAAAAAAAGCAGGATATAGCACAATTTCATCTCCTTCATATGGGTGACTTGATAAGTTGTGGTCGGCTACAAGCGCGTGTTTATAAAAAGACGTAAGTAAAATCACGAAGAATTCAAAAGTACACGCGAATAACTTACAACGACTTTTAAAATTGTTCGTTTGTATTGACGGAAGTTGCAATCAGTGGGACGAATTTTGCGATTCGGTACGTCTGCATTCCAGATTCGCAAGATGGAACTTCAAATAAAGCAAATTTTAATTAAAGTGGACTTACTCCCCTCCAGTGAAAAACATGTCATCAGTAAGGTTTGCATACACGAGTGTTCTAGTTATCCCCGCATTCAACAACTGCGCAGGACTACCACAAATGGCAGCATTATTGGATAACGACCATAAGACAACACTAAAATTCGGGTAAAAATTGCTAGATTTTCATGCCTTCCGTCATCTTGTCCACCGATACTAGCTAAATATTTTGAATTTGGGGAAAATGCCAACGCCTGAACCTTAACATTATGCAAAACGAAGCGTGCTCTCTCACGCTTTTCTGCATAATCCCACAGTATTATATCAGCCTATAGAATATAGTTATATTCATAATGTGCTGCAACCTTATAACCCATGTGAGTAATTTGTCCAGAGGCCAAGTAACATCCATCGCGTGAAACGGCTAAGCACACGACATTGCTTGTGTGCCCTTGCAACAAATTTTGTTTTCGGCTGTTTATATCTTCAATTACTACTGCACATCCCAGTGCATAAACAAAATTTTGGCGGTCTGGGTGAACGTGCAAACAGTCTTCAACGGAGCCTTTGATTTTAGAAAATGCTAGTCATGTCAAACCATTGAATCCAATAACGCCTCTAAGATTCAGCTGCTCATAGCCTAAATGCTCGGTGGACATTCCGAATCCAAAGCTGAATGTTAAACAAGAGCAACTGTATGCCTTGTAAAACTTTTAGCTATAAGAAATTTCGATAAATCAGTATGTTTGCGAATGTTTCTACTGTGGCATTCGCAACCGCCACCTATTGTCGCACACTCATACAGTCGCACTTTCGTTTTTAATGGTAACAGAGGTTAAGAATATAAAATTAAAGTATTTAAACAAAATGGGACAATATTTTAAGAGCTTATTTTGGATGAGGTTAGACCAACTTGATAAGGAGTAATATTGAAACTTTGAGTGGGGGCTAACCCGCAATTTAGTCCAGTTCGTTTTACTATTTTTGCCGATTTACCCGAATAGCGCGTACTCAATTTTCTTTCACGAAAATTGACGTCAAGTAGCATCAATAACGTCTATTTTTACTTAATGCAATGTATTGGCGTTTATGGCCATCCTTAATGTAAGGCCTGGCTTCTCAACGGGTAGAAACAGGCAGTAATTGGAGTTGGCCTACAGTAACCGCCAAATACTAGGTGGTCACATAAGGAAAGTAATACACTTGTGTTTTTTTCTGCGTATTCTATGAGCATAGAGTTGCGGCAGGAATTTTGGAAGGTGAGAACTCTTTTAATCCTGGCGAAATAATGCATGTTCAGCTGAAAATGTGAGCTTTAGATAAACGTGAATTTCATCAGGTCCTACCACACTTATTACCCAACATGTTTTTGTCCTTATGGTCAAATCGCCAGCATAACTACTTAATCCGTTGGGCTCATGGTGCTCAGGTGTTTCATTTTCATCCAAAAGCACAAATTCTATGGGGACGTTCATCTAGTCTCGTGACACTCGTCTGGCCGCTTTCTTAGACAAGGTCATCTTCATGACTAGTTGTTTTCAAAAAATGCAAGGCTGTCCTGGGATCGGTCTTTCGTGTGTACCTTCAATGCCATTAATTGACTTGGTTTGAGAATACTGAACTGGCTGCAGCATCAGTGGGGTCTTCGGTATGACGTTCGTGAATTTCCATCAGCGTTACCAAACGCATTATTTTTTTTGCGTTACAATGACTCAGTCTGTGAGTCAAGCTTCTTTTTGTTTTTGGATTCATTACTATTAAAACGATGACAGTTCTCCTCTTTTTTGCCCTACTGCAAAGTTATGCAGCCTACAGCTGCATCACAGGAGTTAGTGCCCATGTTTATAACGAGTTAAAATAAAATTATACCGAAACCCTAACCATGAAATCCCCTGAATGCTTCATTTTACTTTTTATTTTACTCATTTGAAATTCCTTGTATCTTTCTTGCCAGCTTTTGCCGAAGGATTGAAATCTTAGCACGACTCCTGACGAAAAACTTGTAGCGTCCTGCCACGCGCAGGAAACTATGGCCTTGATTGGCTTGCTCTGCGTGTTCTTCAGTAAATGTCAGCCCTTGTGACGGGACAGTGCATCCCAGTAAATTAGTTGACAGGGTGGCGCTGACGTCGACATTTTGCTTTCTCTCAGGGTCGAATCTGCGGCTCATAAACGATCCAACTCAAAGCTTAGATTAACCATTCACCAAGTAAATGGTTTTAACAATATTTTTCAGTAATAACTTTTCGTTCGTTATGCTGGATAATGTGATGCAATTTCTCCCCATCTAAATAGTGTCGGGCTTCCAGCATTTGGCCTTAAAATCTTATTATGAGACCCGGACTTGGCGCTATGTGCAATCGTGCGACCACCTCAATATTGCACATACTTTTTTCTCTGCACACGGCAATAGAAACGGTAGGTAGCCTACCTTAGCAATGGCAAGGGAACTACGTAGGCAAACGGGCAAACTCACCAAATGTCATACTCTTACATCTCTCGTGATACAAGTAAAAATGGGGAGCCGAGGTTTATGTTTATGGCATTTCTCTTACGCCCTTTGTTGTTGAAATCCTTGGAAGCTATGGTGACACTTCGGGCTTTTGTTTGAATCTCCGTTTTCTCAAAGCGACTGGTCTCTGTTTCAAGTCGGTGGTTCTCATTGCCCTTTAGTGCATATCCTGCCCGAGGATTATGCCATCTTTTACCTTCATTGAACTACTGAGGGCAAATGTTGACAACATTTCGGTTGCAAAGGACACCAATTCAGCTTTTTATTGCCAGGTGTTAAACATTATCCTAAGGTCAAAATTGAGAATCCAGGACTACCTCCAAGAGGAGATCCAAAACCAATGGTGGATTCCAGAAACTATCCCAGTTCCGTTTTCTGCAGGAGTGCCGCTGTCTGAATCCTTGATATGCATCTGTTGGAAAATTGGAAGCCAAGTAGAAGTGGCTGGACAGTACAAGTCAGGAGAATCTAATGAAAACAAACCTCTTCAGCTATAAGAATGCTAAAATTCCCTCCTTGGTTGTGTGACTCTTTTCTTCAGGCCAGCTTTCCTTAAACAGCGATAGATGTGTGTTGTGGCTAGAAGTTCTTGCGCAGGACGGAATTGTGGATCCAGACGAACCGTCCCGAGGGACAAGAGACTTTGTGGTCAATAGCATTCCAACTGGGACGCTGAAGTGGCTGGCGCTCAGGTGTTTGTTTTGCAGCACTGAGTTCGTTAGTGTCGAAGGGGGGAGAGACGACGAGAGGAATTGGGGAGGATGAGATAAAGTGGCAAAGTGGTGCGTATTACTTTATCCCAGTGATGCGTCTCGTTTTCTTGCTAAACAATTGGGTGAAATTCGTTGTTTCGATAATATCTTATTGAAGTAGATGACCAGAAGACCTCATGGCAACAAAACGATGTGGCAAGGTTACGCTGAATTCATGCTGACGCCATCAAACGCTTAACTACTGCAAAGATTTCAGTGCTACCAAATGTTCTCCACTCGGGGTTTACGAGAAAAGACTCGCTACTTTTAAGTAGTCGAAGATCATGAATAAGAAGGATAGTCTTTGGGGCCGTTGATACGAATCCTAGACAAACTTGGAACTCTACGAATTAACGAGTTCAGCAGAAACACGAGAATGAACAAGAGCTTGCCTTAGCTGAATAGCGATTGTAATGTATGCAGTAGTGTGTTTGAGTTGTCCGTACAGGGCAGGATCTCGCCGATAACTGGCTCCTGCATCTTGATTGTGCCTCGATCCCTACAGATTGTAACCTACATGACTATGTCCAATGAATCCTCCACTAAACGCCTTCCTCCTGAGAAGTCTGCGGTTAAAGACGAGAAAAGCGGGCCCGAAGGCACTGTAGTGATAGCCGTATTTTGCTTGTTACATAAAAAGCATTTGTGACATTAATTTGACTTCTAGCAGTGCAACAATAGATTTCCAGTTCATAATAGCCACTTTTGTCAGGTGAGTGCTTTAAATCTCTTGGTTGGTGATGAATGAAGGTAGCAGCGGTGGTACAACCCCTTAGCAATAATGCAGACCGAAATACTGGCCAGGATTTGTGAGAAAGCATGTTTTCAATTGCTAAAATGGTAAGAAGAAAGGGCTTTCTGGTGGTTCATAAGCGGAGGCAGCCTGAGACCGGTTTCACCTCGAACCAATCAGGCGAGAAGGAATGCGTCCGCGATTGGCTGACTTTAGCATCGTGTAAAAACGGGCAATTGGGTTAAAAAAGAAGCGTGCACGTGGGGAACAACATCCCCAAACTGTATCCCTTGTAGTTTGTTTGTTGCTAGTAGAAACCATGCAGTCTTGATTAGTTGCCTGTCACTTTGGCAAAATAATCATGGAAGTCAGATTTGCGAGTGAGGTAGGGGAAAGCCGAATGTACTCCTCGCCGACATTGTTGCAACCGGGCGAATATGGCTGGGCACGGATAAAGGATAAAGTCTGGACATTTTGAACTCCCAACTCACTTGGTAATGCGCCATAGTTGTACTGAAAGTACGTTCTCTTGTCCCACTCACGCATGCACTATATGACATTGTCTTCCCCTGTCGCTGGCTTGATTGTCCTGATTCATCAACCAAAGTGCTACCACAACGGACCCAGCGGTTGGACACAGGAGGTGCACTTGTCTCGTAGACGCTAAGTAAATTCCTGGACATCCTCCATAAACGGATTGAGTGAGGTAGAGAAGAGTGTAAAGTTCGTTGATTTAAAAAAAAACAGCTGATGTGGCTCCTAGGAGTGGGCTAAATTGTGGTGACCACTGAAGTACGTGCACAATGCATTAATAAAAGTGGGGTCACATTAAAACTGTGTGGACGTGAGTGCGCCGTCGAAGAATCTGGAAACCACCGGTGAGGTAAGCATCGCTGACCCCATGTCCAACAGTGAACCAAATGCAGGAAAGTTCCTGAGGCAGACCGGCTACACACTGACTAATCAACGCTAAGACACGAGTGACGCGCTCTCTATTCGCTAATGCATTCAACATACTCTCAACTTGTGGCGCAAGTAGGCGTGTGCTAAGGCAGACCGATTGCGAAATGCTAATTTTGCACCGCCCCTATTCAGCCAACGCTTAGCTCTAACTGAGAGCGAGAAATACGCAACCTCGTCTTAACGCAGTCACATCATGCCGGAGTGAAATGGCGGCAATTAAGCTCACCTCAGGCTCTGATCTCCTTGCATCAACCCAACTTTAGACAACTTATTGGGCGAACCCTCAAGACAGACGTCTGCAAAGCCTCATCTCACCGTTGAATTCCATTCCACTCATGACTATGGGGGAAATGAGTTAACACATGTGATGAGGTGGGTGCCAAGGTTGAGAAAGGTAACAGACAACTCGAGTGAGTTCACCACTTGCTATTAAGCACACAAAAGTCAATACGACTGTGTGCAGTGCGCTTGTGTGCGAGAACGTGAATCAGTTAAGCAAGAGTGGGTGCCACTAACAACTCAAGTTGAGTATCCGCCCTCATCTAGGCGTTACAAGAGATGTAACAAAGTTTACAAACTTACTAACCGTGCATGCTACCAGCATGACAAATTCTGTCTTGATTATACTTCCTAAAACTGCCAACCTATAATAACCAGTGATATAGACCTAAGCAAATAAAATTATGGCCAAAAAACACAATGAAAACCAGGAAAAATTCCACTTTTTCTTCAAGGTCAAAATGAAGATGGAAGTAATTATTGATACAGAAAAAAAATAAGCAATTACACCAGGATCACGAAGTTGCCGCTTTTTCCAATGCAAGCTCCGGCGCAGGCATAAGGAAACTCTTTCGGATGGCCTCACGCTGCTCCTCTGACTTTAGATGCCTAAAATGTAGGAAGGTCGGACGTATGATCAAGTAGTTGAAGAGACGCACATAACGCCCTCCAGCTGCATGTATTATTCGACTGATGCAAATCGATGGTGACATCGACGGGTCATTGGAAACATGGAGAACATAAATTTTTATTCGAGCATGGTTTAATTTTGATGCACTTGAGAAGCAAAGTAAAAAGGCAAGCGCGATAGCCTTTAAAGAAACTTGAATCATTTTCTAGCACAAAATCACTTTCTAGCACGCAATATCTCACGTTTGTAATAAATAGCAGAAGTGAGAAATTTGGATTCTGCAGTGGCTACTAGAAGCATATTGAAAAGCAAATAGAACCAACAGTAGAAATGTCAATAGCAGCAGCAACGGAAATAAAGTACGAAAATAACCGTCAAAGAATTGGTCAACACTAACCCATAATGTGGTTCGATATTCAAGACTAAAAGCAATTACGATAATCGCCGACATAAGACATCCACGCATTAACCACAGAGCATTCATACCATCTGCACATCATGAAAACTCACCAGTAATCAATGAAACGTAACCCCTGAACACCCTGAGCAGCTTCGTTTGTAAAATGACAAGCAAATAAAAGAAGATTTCGAGGCTGCACGCGGATTGCAAAGCGCATGAACAAGGCCGAGTAGCAAAGTAAGGCTGAAAAGGAAACAAGATTTAGAAAAGCATAATTAAATTTCAAATAATGTGAAAGAGGGAATGCCAACATTTTGAGCGTTAAGACAGCATAATAGTTCAGACAATTAAGGAAAACACACCGAACGTCATTTTGCCACTAATCAGTTCGGGATTTTTTTTGAGGTCACCCAGCGCAGCTAAGGGCAAGCCCCAGTTTGCCACAGGTCCCCAGAAGTGCTAAAAATATAGCGATTTAGATTCAGGAGAATGGCAATAACCTATGAACTATAAGCGTGGTTTATCCACAAGAAAATATATAAGTTGCAGCAAAGAAAACAAGGGTTGCCCAACAAAAGCAAAATAAATATTTTAGACATTTAAACTAAAATTCCCAAGAATAAATAAACCCATTCAGTTTCTCTTAACTTAATTTTGATAAAATTTACAGTAACGGTAGCATCGGCAAAATACTGGACAATTAAGATAGGTAGTGTCTTTAAAGTTACTTTTAAAATGTAAACGTTGAAACTACCGTGCTGCATAAATAATCCCTGAACTCCTTGTTCCACACACGACGAAGCAATCGAGAAGCCATTACAAAATCATACACGTATGCGAGGTGTGGTACGCGTTGAGTAAAAGTTGTTGAACCATTAAAACGAAATGCCAACTTTTTAAATTTCTAGCAAAACTGTTTGTACTGTAATGCTTTTGAGCTTTCTTTGTTTAGTTAAAAATAAGCTTAGATCTATTAAGAAGGAAAAGTTAACAATAACATATTTATTATATAATCAAGATCTTTATTGCGACAAATCGCTACGTTTCGCCTAAAAAAATAATGTGGGCTTGACATTCGGCATTATTTAGTGGTTGTCTTACAAAATTAATGTATATTATCAGTTTTTGATCGTACTTCTTTCTTGAATCAGTAAATGTTGTCTGTACATCCTGTTAAATAATCTTGTAGTGTCTTCCATTCTACTTAAAAGTGCTTACATTCCGCTTTGCAAAGGTCGGTTTTCTCTCTGATATTTTATCAGGCATTTACAACAGCTTGTCCTGAATTTTGGTGGTTCTAATTGGGATGACTCCAACGTTGATTCAGAGGTGGCTCTGCAAGCTTCTCCAAATACAGGATTCCAATTCAGTCCCACCATTCTTATGCAAAAAATATTTTAAAACAGTATAATGCATTGCAGGTTTAGCTTTTTGGCATTTGAGAATTATAACACAGCTTCATGTGGTAAATCATTTAGTTTTGAAGATAGTCGCGCCTTGGAAATAGCCAAAATCACGTATCTTTTTGTCTTTATCTCTTATTCTGAGCGTATTCTTAAAGTGGTGAGTGCGGCACGCTCGATAGTGTGGGATGAATAGGGGGTAAGCGTATACTACTTGCTCACGTCAAGAGAATACATCTACTTCAGACCTGATCCAGGTTTGAGCAAAGATCTTATCTTCTGTTAACAAGGTGTACTTCGATAACTGTCTTTATAGTTGAATCCTGTTGTTGTCGGGTGTTTTTTGTACTTCGTGTTGAATTGAGTAGACCTCCAAGGCTTTGCCTACCGTATTTCCATGCCTTCAACATTGTTTCTGAACATCCAAAATACATATCCCTCCGTATTTGCATAACTCTTCAAGCCCTCATCAAAGCAGCAAGTTCACATTGCTAATGTACAGAAGAGATTTCGCAGCTCCTTTTGTGGTGCGCAGGCCACGTCAACCAAATTAGAGAGTACTCTCTCCCATAGGTGTTATTCATAATGCTTTCCTTGATTAAGTTCCTGACTCACTCACCGATATGCAGCGATGGTTCGGACTGGCGACAACACGACTAACCTCTTAAAATCCAACATTGCTCATGCTAATCCTTTAGCAACACTGAATCCAGAGCGTTTATCCATCCTCAATAGCAAAATTAGTCGACAGTGCTGCAGTCAGCTTGGAGGAGGCAGGTTTTCTTTAAAAAAACAAGATGCTCAACATGCGTCCGGTTCCTGCCCTTTGGACTTGCACGGATGCAGTATGCAAACTTTTCCCGATGATTCACGACCAATATCACGTTTGGCCTGGGTACCGAAAGTGAATGGGCAGGTTTCATCTCTTCTCTCCATAAGATGGTCCTGATCTGCAGCATAAAAGCTTTCTATTCACGAAAGGCAATCAAAACGATCGTATCTGTGATATAAGCCTTCTTGCCAGTGGCATCGATGCTGAAATCCTCAACCTTCTGAAGCTGTGGTGGGCCAAAGCCGTGCAAAGGAATTGGAAGACCATTAGTATAACCTTTGCGCCAGCTCACAAAACGCAAACTCAATCTCAACCGTGTCGAACGGCAGTTTTACTAAACTATTAAGTCGCTACGTTTTAACAACTCACTTCGATCTCAAGAAAGAACAAGTTTCAACAAAACGTTGGAAAATCCTATCAGTCGTTCTCCAAAGTACTGTGAAAATTGATGACATCCCCAAAGGGAATGCAAAGCTTGGATCCTCCTGTCCAACAAATTCTCCACCAAGTAAAGTGAGCAAGAAGAGGTGCGTACTTGTGCGCGAATGGAACTGAGTAATATTAACCCAATCAAAAAGAACTGCAAATTGAACATACAGTCACATCCACATACACACACACACAAACGCGTCAGAGAGTGCATATGCTGTCATAACATCCCAGCCTAATAAACGCTCACTGAGACATTTGAAGTTGCGTTTGCCAAAGGAAAACGGATCGTGTACCCCACGAAGGCGATTCAAGACCAGGAGGTCAGGTTGAAGTGGCAGAAGGGAGGGGAGTGTATGCACGTAGGTAGAGGCCGGCCATGCCTCCAACCCAGTGTCCTGTCATTGTGACGAACCACACCTTCGAGAAACGAGAGGGTAACAACAGGGGAACAAAAAGGTCGTCTGAATATGTATGTATGAACGTTTTCAAGAGGGCAAGCAAGCGAGTCGAATACGAGGAAAGTCACCACCACTGTGGGAGACCATAGCGGAGGAGTAAAAGTTGAGGTTGAGTGGATGAAATTGCGTTTGTGAGTGAACAGGCGCGTGCGAATGTGAAATACTGACGAGTTACACTGAACCACCATCACGGCTAGTCTCCAGGATGCTCAGGACATGTCTGCTTCCTCTGGAACCAATTATCTATGCATCTGAAATAAACGAACAAAAATGATGAAAATGATACAAAAACACAAAAAACGATGTTTTAATTTACTCCAAAATAACGCCGAATTGGCTTACTTTTTGTGGTAAATGCAAAGACAAGGAAGCCGTGCGATTCTATCACCCGCCTTCATATCTTCCAAGCAGATAGAGCATTCGCCTTTGTCCGTTTGAAGGGTATCCTCTGAGGAGAAAGACCAAACACCAAAAGCAGAAATAGTACATGAATACACAAACTCTGGAATGCTAGAAGTGAGGAGACTCTCCTTTCCTGCAAGCTTGTGATTTGAGGAAGCGGTCAAGCGCATGGACCACACCTACATATGCGCGCGCGCGTCGTCGGTGGGTGGATAAATATTGCATTACGGAGATCGCTACTAATAATAGACGAGACAGATAACTTCTCCCACCATCAAAACGGGCACTAACATCGTCAGTGCCGAAATGCTACATTCAACTCAATTTACATGAGGAAGTTTGCCACAATTTAAGCATGCAGGAAGGTTGACAGCTCACCATTGTAGGTTACACGGGGGCGAGTGAGGCACATGACATAGTGGAGATCGTAGTCGTCATGCGGTATCATACGCTTGCAGAAGACACAGGGTCGATCGCGACCTGACATAAAGCGAGAAAACAAGTACGTTCAGGTGGATTTCGCTTGCAGCACTTGTAAATCATACCTAGTGCATTTATAATTTGCGATCCAGCTTAACACAACATAGTAGAGGGAACTATTGGTAGGTATCGTAGTGCCCGCCACAGAACAGAGAGAATGCGTCAGAGAAGTGTTAAAGAGGCCAAGAGGACACATCTACATGATTGATGCACTTTAAAAATGCAAGTACATAATTGCCCATCACATTCGAGGCACGTTTGGCACCTCATGTGACACACTCCACATACATAGGAATCGTAGATGAGAAAAACAGTGAAGGCATGTTGTGTAGAATGTCTGTAAAAAAGTGTAGCATAAAACTTTTAATGGTCTGAATTAAACAGGTGTCAAATGGGACAAAAAACTGGGGGATGAAAAAGGTTCGAGGCTTGAAAAGAAGGGACGATGAGCGGTTACAGTGGGCTTGTCAACAGCCACTGAGACTGTCGGGACATCCAAAGCGACTTTCGAATGATAAAATGAATCACTCAAACTAACCGAACTCTCGCGGATTTGTAGGAGCTAGGTTCATTGCGAATGAACAATTCAATCTCAAGAAGAGGAGAAATTCGTGACTTTCCTATGTTTACAGTATTCCTATGCCGGTGGTTTCATTATCACGAATGCAACTTTTTCTGTGCTCAAGCATCACATTAATTGGGATAAAAATTAATTAGTGATGAGGCATGTGTGTGTGTGTGGAGAGAAGAGAGCAATGAAGAGGCAATAATGAAACCTGTCTAAGCCAAGGCCTCTTTGAAAATAGACGCACTTTCAACACAGCCTTGAAGGACGCATGAATACAAGAAAAAAAGCAGCACAACACTTAAAGAACCCTAATTTAAGACATAAACAACACATAAACTTGGGATCGCTCTGGCCTCAGTCCTTCTCTCCCAATTTAAGCATCATAAAGTGTTGAAGTTAATACCAGTCGCTAATAAAAATATATCGGCGAAGGGAATAAGGTAACTGCTCAATGAAGAGGGTGAAAACCGCATTTGACGAGTGGGAATGATGGACAGGTGTCTTTTTTTCAATGTGAATACTAAGCAGTTTGGAATAGCCAATTTAATAAAGTACCACAGGAATGTGCACAATGAACCTACAGTAAAAAGCAAAAAAATATCCCAAAAAATACCGAAGTAATGTACTTTAAAAGAGCAGAGGAGACACAATGGTGGCGCAATTACATATAGTACTTTGGTGAACACGGATAAATTAGCAACGCCTTCGTTATGGTTAGAAAGGATATTTGAGAATTCGTGTGATTAGCAGCCGACATGAACGACGTTCATGGAAAATGCGAAATAAAACGGTCTTAAATGCTGCGGTGCGCTTTCAGATAATATCGATAGGATATCACAACTAGAAGAGACGTGGAATCTAGCATGCGTTGTCAGATAGAGGACAACCCATGAAGTGACAAATAAATTATGCATCACACCACTTCTAATGGGGAACTAGAATGCAGAGCATCAGGCAACGGAGGCGAGAATCCTATCAAAAAAATGCAGAAATGAGCACGCTCAATGCCATTAACAAAGACTAGACAACCAAAACAGAGAGGAAAATGCAGACACGCAAAACAAGGCCTCCTTCTAGGAGATATCCGAATCCTTGCAACCACAGCATTAGCACTAGTTTTGACGATGTGGTACGAGGCTGACAACATAAGGAAAAGCTATGTTAATGTGACGTACACAGATTGCAAGAAATAAAACTAGAGGCGAAGTAACTCATTGAATGGTATTTAACACAAAAAGACCTCAAAAGAGGATTTACGAGTGAAGCAAATCCACAAAAAAGACTTCACTTGAGTTATAAAGAAAGTTAATGAAATTTACGAGATTTTCCAAGTCTGGTACGTCTCTTCTCCATTTTAGGCCTTAATATTTAGGAAGTGCTAATAAAGAAATGACCCAACCTGAGAGCACCGAGTGAAATTCAGAAGTTCATTAGTCGTCTGCTTCTGTATAAGCTGAGCACATTTTAATTAGTCCTCAGGAGTTGATAAGCTTATACTACAGTTTTTTATCAAACACAGGAAGCCATAAGCTTAAAAAATAAAATCAGTATTTTTATCAAAAGTTCAACCAAGAAAAGGAAAATGGTAATCAAAAATATAACACACCAAATTAAATAGATGAAGAAAATAGGGAGTATGCTAAACTGAAAACATGGTTAACAAAATGCCTCACAACAAAAACGCTGCAGGCGAGATTAAAAATAACACACCACTAAGCAGGAGGAGACTTTCTGGCCACTGGCGTCGTCTATGGGGGGAGGAGGAAGAAGCGGCGGCAAGTGAAAGAAGCACCTGTCTACGGACGGCTGAGAGACGCTCCTCGAGGGCTTCATCATCAGCAGCAACAGCGGTGGAAGTGGAAGCCGAGGAGCGTTGGCGACCACCGCTCCTTCTACTACGATGGCTTCTGCTTACGGACGCGCCTTCTGTACCTGCAAAAAGGCCATCAGCATCCAGTACTGATAGAGGACGTGCCCGACCACTCGCCTCCCCGCTCTCTGCGGCGGACGCACGGTACGCCCTTAAAAGCCGAATAATCCTTGGATCGTCTGGGGAAATGACACCCCCATTGGCTTCAATGTCGGCAATGAGACGATCAAGCATGATCACTGGAGATACATTATGTCCTGTGTGACCATGACCACGTCGTGCGCGGCGGCCCGAGCTAGAACCTGGTTCATCTAGCGCTGATGCTGACCCCGAAACAGCCGCGTGCTGATGGTTGTGAGAAAGACTTCTGGTACGAGGACCGGTAGCTGGGGAGCTAGATCTACGGTGATGGTGAGAGTGAGGACTAAGACGCTCAGTCGAGGTAACATCTGGAGGATCGAAGCGGGTGCTACTCATGCGCATGCCCATCTCGACGGATTAGGTTGCAGTAGTAACCGATTCAAAGAGTAAAGGGAGATAGTCTATTCCAAGTCATACAGTGTGAATTCTTATACATCTAAAATTGAAAAGCAAGTGAGAAATTTCAAATACATGAGTGTCACGAAAATAGTTTGAAACACACGTTTTCGTGTACTGATTGACAAAGGGATTTGACTAGCAATGTCCTCAAACTTTAAGCTCCTAATAAAAATCCAAGCAATGAATCAAGCACAAAAGCAAAAGTGTAAATGAAAAGAGCATGCCATTACCGCATAATGGACAACTCATCAAAGTCACATTAAGTGGTAACAAAGGGAACATTCGAATCGAACTATTGCGTGACCAAATTATCAACATTGATAGCAGCCATAGAGATTGTAACTTTTTAATTTCGGTGAAGTGCACTATAACAATGGCACAGAAGCTATCCAAAGACCGTACAGCCGAAATGTTCGCAACAATATACATAAGCCTCTGAAAATAGCGGTGTCTGAATCGATTGCATAAAACTTGCGTGATCGCTTTGGCGTAACGCAGCCGGCCTTAGATAAATCAATCATTGGTCCAGTTAATTTTGATAAACTTGTTATTATTACTTAAGTATTCATTGTCCACTTTGTACAGTTCTTTTAATGAAGAAATCGCGGCTTTGGAAATTTACGGCAATTGTGCCGTTTGCTTGCATTATACACATGGAAATTTTTAGCTATCATTTTGATCAGCTCACTTTTTTGGCCATATGATGCAGTAACCACTACTTATTAAGTTTATAGAAAAAATGCTCGAGCGTATGACCACCAGTCTCACCTGAGGGGTATCTTTATGGTTCAACGGAGCCCTCGAACTCGTGGGTCACTGCTATACTTTTCTCTGGCACTTTATCTGGTTAGCACTGACTTTAGCCAGCTCTATAGCTTTGTTGACTGATCTGACTCTTTGGACTAGTAATAAAACCAATAACAATAATTTATGATGTTAATAATTTCAACTGCTCTCAAACCACACCAATTCGGCAGCTCCATCTAAAAAATGTGGCCTTAATTCGGTCAAGCGTGGATTACGATGCGCAAATAATCCAGATTAGATTTAGATTTCCAAATGTAAATCGGAATAGTTTACGTAGCGCCCTGTGACTTCCCATCAGATAGAAGGATGCATAACGTTAGGCTGAATACAAGCATTTTACGAAGAGAAGAAGTGATAGGGTCACGGCTAAATCCAAAAGCCAGCCCACGCACACAAGGGCAAAACGAAGACAAAGGTAGCCGCAACACTTTATGCCGCCAGATGAGCAAAACATTATAATTAATGAAACCATTTTATTTATTGTAAATCGTGAGCACGCAGAGAGCGATCATGGACGAAGACGGACAGAGAGGACTCGGATCTACAACTGTCTTGGCGGCCGCGACTTCTATTTTCTGAACAACTTCTAAATATTAATAAATCTTGGTTCAGTGCTTTCCAGGCATGGTACAAGTCTGACATTATTAGCGCAAAGTACATTCAAACTTGCCTTTGCAAATGTTATGGACTTGTCAATTTTCGAGACTTCCTTATGATTCTTCGCCTAATAAGGCATTCTAAGTGAGTTTACTCAAGCAAGCTTCGAGAATGCGGTTTTGGCAAATATTCTAAACATTAACCTTTCCTACAATCAATGTTTTTGTCTTGAAAATTTTTTGCACTCTTAATATAATCATTTTAATCGAGCCAAACATTGCAGATTCATCGTCCCAGTGCAATGAAAAAAATGTCTGAGTGGTCCCCAGGATATCACCTTATTAAAATTTTCTGAGTCTTCTTCTTCCTCAATTTCCGGAGGAATGGCATCCTGTGTTAAAAAAGAGGGCTCGTGTTACCAAACTCTTGAAGATCGTCAATGCTATAGAGTCTTACTAAAAATTAACGATGAAAATTAAGTTGTTCTCAAAATGTGAAAAAAATTAGTTGAATGCCTTCAATGAAATCAACCGATTGGTGTGGGTGGGTTGCTAAGCTTCCTCTTGGTAACTGAAAGAAATGCAAAATAATGTTTGAAAGGATAAGTAACCAATAATTATTTTCATGCCGGTAAGATCATCCAAAACAAGGCAAAGAAATGGCATTTTCGGGAGTGAAAACCCTTGTCTGTCTATAAAGTCATTTAACGGATGTGAAACATTTAATTTTAGGCAGCTATACCTGAGACATCTTGACCTCCGTTGAAGAGGCCTCACAGAGGCGGAGAATTTCGGCCAGAAGACCTTGGAATGCCTTTGGCGAGGGGGTTACATTCGACCAAGTGTCATACAGTATCTACAATTAATTGAGTCATTTATGTGCGACCATATTGTAAAACTTTGTAGGTTTAACTATAAATTCGGTTGAGAGGCCATTTTGAAGCTCCGAAATGTGGAACCTTCCAGGTATTCTGCATGTCAACAATGTACATTTGTATTTGGGGAGCCTCAAGTTGTTTTTTGGTGACAGCGGTGCCCACTTGGTGGTAGCAGGTAAAATGATGGACGATACCCCTCCTCCTCCCCTCGACTTAGGCGGTGGACACGGTGACAAAGAGAATGAGGCGCAAAACCCTCTACCTGTATCGCTATGCTCAGCTATGAATACATCAGATAATCCGCACTCTACAGTTTTCGAAACCCCGTTTAACACAAGTGGAACCTTGGGATGCAGGGGATATCCGATGGCATGGAAATTTGATTATCGACACATTTAACTCGAATGCTTTTCGCCTAGACGACCGATTGCGTTGCAATGGGTGACAGAGGAGACCTGAAAAGCGAAACATTCAAAGAAAGCAAGGGGCCTTGTAATGCGTTGTCAGAAGATACGATGTAATCAAGAAATAATAGTCGGCACCTCTTTTTCATCACCATGGGCATATAACAGGCTATGAGTGGTGTTACTGTTGTTGAAGTCTGTACCAACTTTCACCTACTTTGAGTTGATTGTCGCGTTTATGGGCTTCTTGCAACATGCGGAACCGCTTATCGGCTGAGTGAAGGACAGCGATGGAACCCCGACGTATCGATGGGGTCACGTCCTCTGCATTTGGCAACTTAAAGTGAATTAAAAGTTACAGACTCATCTTCCTATGTGCAAATAACATGCGGAATGCCTATTTTTGAAAATTCATGCAAAGCATCAGAAAATGGCTAGATTTGAGGGTACCTGAACATCAGGCATCTCCATGTTTCCCTGGTCGACAAAGATGAGGAAAGCAATGCAATCCTTCTCAAGGTAGGTCAGCTGTTCAGCGCTGACATTTTTGAAGGTGATTTGACGGCTGTGACTGAGGGTTATTTTGCCATCGTCACCGCTACACGTGGTGGCGTCTAGACGCACAACTGTTTCCTTTTCCTCCTTAAACACTCGGTAGCGAAGTGTTGTCCCCTTTCCTTTCAATGGTTCTGGCAGGCTTATTTCAGTAACACCAACCTGCGAATATTACAGTACATGTCAGTTGACTCTTTCACACTTTGGAAAACCATTTAATAGAATTTAAACCCAATTTTGTGAGCATTTTAGTCAAAAGAGTGGAGGGTATGAGAAAGCACACCTTGAAGTGGAACGGTCTTCCAAGCAATTTTTGGGGATTATCGACGAAAAGGTACTCTGAACTGTTGGGTGCAGGCACACTGCCCGATGGAAGGCAGGGCTGAAGACTAACTGACACCTCTCCGATCGCTCGACCGTCAAGATCGCTTATCTGCAGGCAATCAGTGTAGTCGAGACCGTAGGCCAGAGATTGCAGAAAAGCGGGCGTAAATCCCACGAGGAGGGGCTCCAGTGGCTCCCAGAATGGATCATCTTCTTGCCTCACCGGATTGTACTTGCCTTCAGCAGAGTCAAAGGCTTGATATATCTCCTGGTGGAGGATGAATGTAAATTTGGTTTGGGATTTAGGCAAGCATCAGTGCTCACAAGGGAAACTGCAATTGAATAATATGAGTGAGGACTTTTGGGCGTCCAAATCGTGAAAAATCAGCTGGAGCGACGAGTTTGCGGTTGATTTGGCGAACTACATGTTTAGCGATGTCACAAAACAAAGTCAATTTTCTGCTCCATAGGTCAGGCTAAGTGTGTGTTTCAGACTCTTGCAATCAAGACTGATAGAATGTTGTCAGATTAGCTTCTATGACCAGGACCAGTGGCATCATCGGTGGCATGGAGGTCTAAACATTGGAGGAACTCGAGCGCCTTGTGAGGGTGGTGTCGCCTTCATGCTTTTCCTTCGACCTGATAAAACACTCCAGTCTTATGGCTCCCACTTTATTTTCAAGAGTCTTGCGACTATTCATTGCCAGTAGTGTAAAAAGTGTGGTTCTGAATTCTCTTGCTTGGCGACATATTTGATCGGCATAGAAGTTGCAGATTCGCAGCAGCTAGATAGATCCGTCAAGACCCGCAACAGGATAGTCAGCGGCCAGTTTAGTTCTCCATTCGCCAGGATTTGCAGTGATGAGTGAAGCAACACCAGCAGTGGAGGCTGTCTGATGTTAGGCATAAATCTTACGTATGCAAATTCGCGACACTTCTCCCACTTCTCAACTAACCGCTGCAGCTGGATAGCAGCGGAGAGCTCCGAAGAGTGTACAACATGGCAGGGAGGAATGAGTGTGCAATTTTAACTACTCAAAACTATGTTGACTCTCGTGCTTTACCGTCGGGCTCTTCTGTTAGGCAAGTGTTCCTACATGGCGGCTTACGCATCTCCGCTTGTCCCAACTCAGTCTCAACACGGAACTGCATCGCGGACTCGGTACGATTGCAAAAGGGCATCAATGAAGTTGCAGTCAATTGCTTTCTCGTTGTGGTGGTTACTAAATGACTTGCGGGTTGTGGATTGTTGACGTCTCCTTGCAGCGGTGACTCCGTTGTAATGAGGACGGCGGCTACGTGATGCACTGGTTAGTCGCTTAACGCCTAAGCCATGTGAAGGAGTTGCTCAGGTGTTCTGCCATTGTGCTTCAGTCGGACGAACTGGACATCAGGTCACTTGGAGCACCTCTTACCCCAACCTTATGCTCACAGTAGATGGTTGACCAAAGGAAAGTCTTCTTTTGACTTTGCTAATGTCTCAAGACGATACACTTAAAGCGATATCGCAAGTATTTGGACACCCTCGGAAAGAAAATGTCTATTTTATGGGTCTACAACTTAATCACAGGCGCTGGTCTCTCATTTGTGAATGCTAAAAATCACCTAAAGCGTATTGAAGTCTTTTTCCAATTCCCCATTGTCAAAAAAGGGAATACCTTTACAGGAAGGAGGTGCCAGCAGTAATCCACAGTGACTCCAAAGCGGCAATCCATGCACCATCCACCTGCTTTCCTCTAACAATGGGTGGTTAGCTAGTCATGTGTGTTTCAAGCAAAGCAAAGCCGCACCTGAATAAGGAAACGACGATTCAAGAACTTCCCGCGGTCCCACATCCACGTGTGGCCTGTCTTCGAGCACTTCATTTGGATGACTATTCTGCAAGAAAGACACACAAACCCACTTTCATGCACTCGTTTGTGCTTGGATTTGAGAGTCCACAGTACAGTCCTACGAGTTATTCCATTTAGGGAGGTGAATGCACGCACATTAGTTTGGTGTGTTGGAAAGTTGTTTGGCTCTGGTTTTTGGTGAGGGGACCCCTAGGGGGCTTCACCGTTGTGTACGCGCCTCAGGTGAACAGGCCTCTGGGACATGTCAGTGGCCTCTGGATTTGGCGGACGGAGAAATTACACTCGACCTGTGAATCGCATCTTCTTATTCCCTCTTCGGTAAAGTCTCAAAGAAGTGCATTAGCGCAGTGGCGATCTAAATAACCTCTAGTGGAATTCTTTTTGCGCTATTTTCAGTAAAGATATAAATTGAGATTGTTTAGCGTGGGCTTACCGAGGCGTTTTGTGTTGGCCATAGGTTGTCTGCTGTAGCAGTGCCGGTAGAAGAACGATTTCAAAAGCTCGGCACTTATTCATCTCCAGAGCGATGGCATTGACCTCCTGCACCATCGGCAACAGCTCAATCAACTGCTGTTGTAGCGCACACCGATCTGAAATGTAATTTGTAGCATTTTCAACACTTATTTAAGACTGGACTTCTTCAACAAGTAAATTAAGGCGCTGCCAGTTTGATGGCGTAGGACGCTTTGGCCCTTCGACCGCTCCAGCCAATTTTATGACCTTCTCGGCCATTGAACTATTAAGTGCTGCAAGTGTGGCTGCAGAAGGCAAGTCTGTTCTTGGAAGGACTAAGGTTCCAGTTCCTACCGTTGAGTGACTGCTCTTAAGATGAAGGAAGAAGTGACAATGCTGTAGATGAGAGAATTTGCAACGAGTTCCTATGCAAGATCCGCTTATGACGTTCACTTGTGACACCTCCTCCAGCTTCGTGTTTCGAGACTGCATTACCAACAGTCAGAGCGTTACTGACCGTGGAGTAAATGTGAGATTTCAATTTCTACCCAAGTGAAGTCCTTCAAACTCTATCCCTTGGTAAGTGGCATTGAAGGGTGGATGAGATGATCCCTGTAGTTGCTTCATGAGGGTTTCATAACAACCTCACTCGATCTTGTGACGACTCTCGCAAAAGCTTCACAAAGAAGAGGATTGAGAAAGAAGAAAGGAACTAAAAAGACCGATCATTTAATTCCTCAGCCATTGACCCCACTTCTCGGAGTCCTAACGATCAAGTCAGGCTGGCAGCCTCTCAGACTTTATCCATTCCAGCAGTGCATTTTTTCCCGCAGGATTTGTTCCTCTTCCGCCTTTGAAGTGTCATCTCAAAACATCATTTCTACCACGAAATCTGTCAAGTTCTTCATGTCTTTTGATACAATACGGTTACATTGTTTTGGCTTCTCTACATCTTCTAACAATTCGTGCATTTTGACAGACACAGTCACCGAACTGGATTGAAGCGTCTTAAGAACGCTGAACAACCACACAACACTTCTTGGGTCATAATTTCACGCATATCTCTCGCAACTCTCATTTGTGAGGTAAATTGAAATGAATTTGCGTGACATTGACACCAAAAAGGAGGTTTTCAATTGTTGACACCTCCACAGGAGGTCATCAAATACGTTTCACTTTTCCAGCTTTAGGGAAGAACTTCCAAGCCAGAAGTGGTGGACAAAATGCTTCCAGCTGGCACCGGCCGTGTGATAGCTGGAAGATGCTTTCCAGTTAAAAGAAAAGTAAACAAACTGAATTCCACAAAACCAACCTTATCAACTTTGTTGAAACTTTGGGATGGACATAAACCCACCGTTTTTATCCATCGTCTTATTGAGTTGATCAATTCCCGCGCTCTCCGCGAGCTCCCTCTGAGCGAAGTCCCAGTCGACACAGTCTGGGACGTCCTCGCACTTTTCAGCGTCATTGTGATAGACGTAAAGGTGGTAGGAGCCTAAAAGCATGGAACAGCACGACAACATGGGCCGACCGCCTCCACAGCAAGTCTCAAGCTAATGCAGCCTTTGCATCCTTGAAGTTGTTTCAACATAGAGGCAGGAATGAGACGCCTACCGAAGAGAATGCGATCCATGGGTCTGAGAATTCGTGCGGTGGTGAGAATGGTCCCGTTGACTTTGGTGTTGTGAATGGAATTTGCATCAGCCAAGACTTTCATGCGACCATCCGCGAGCCGTTTGAAAGTGGCGTGTTTGTCTTGGATGTTGAGACCTTTCAGCCAAATGAATGCCGTCGTTTTGCCATCCTTATTAGTTGTCCTCTTTCGTGGTCGATGACTTCCCCGAGTGCCTTCACGGCGTACGACAATCTGATCAAATTATGAGCATTAATGACAATCTTATACTGAAATGAATTGTCTAGTTTGCTTCGAATTCGAGATCTGCTGAGAAATCAGACCTCTACCTCAAGACATCCGTCCCATCCCCCCTCCACCAACAGCTCACGTCTTTCGCTTTTGAGGAAGTCTCACAAAAAGAGTTTGAAATTTCAGATCGCATCCTTAAGGGTGTTGGAGTAAGTCGTGCGAGTGACAGCAGGTTGTCGCCTTCTTCTTTAGATTAGAAACAAACCTTGTCTGCATCCAAGTAATGAATGATGACTCCGGAAAGTTGAGGATCCTCGTTTAGGTTGGAGAGGAAGGGACATTGAGATGGCGCCTTTGGGTTCTGTCTACCCTCAACCGGCACTTTTACAACGGTGACCTCTTTGCGAGCCTCCTCAAGCTGAAAGTCAAATGTTCAGTGAAATTGTTGAAACGTTTGTTCTACTATGAAACGATACACATCATGGGGATGGAAATGCTCACCTTTTTCCTAAATACACTCCTATCCTGGTTCTCCAGTTGTTCTCGGTTATTCTCCAACTGTGCCATAATCTCCACTCGTACCTCCTCCTGTAATCTCGCTCTCTCTACACGCGTCGACCAGTGGATAAAAATGTATGAAAAAGGACGGCTACCTTCACTCGACATACCGGGTGGTGAGACAACTTCTGAAGCCTTCATCATCTCCTCCAACCTCCTCCTCAGTCTTTCATTTTCGGCCTTAATGTGTGAAGGAAGAGTCTTTGACCTCCCTAATTAGAGCTTATTAAAGTCGTGGACACAGTAGCTGAGGCAAATTCTTCTTCAAATGCACACAAGGAAGAAAATGCTTTACAAAATTTTAGAATTACCATTAATTCCTTAATTACACTATCCTGTAATTTGTCGTTGACTACGGCGTTTGTTTTGATTTGCCTCGCCCTGTCGGCGTATCGGAGGGTGGAGAGAGTCTCCGCGTAATTGATGTCGGCCGGAGAGAGGGCAGCTATCATCACGGTCTTGCTGTAGGGCAAAAAGTGCTTCATTCTCTGCATTATGCAGAACACAAAATGCAGACCGAAGGAGTGAACTTGACGCACACCGTTACCCCTCAAAAAATTGTGTTCACACTTATTGCAAAACCCTCAAAGTGGTGCCATCCTCCTTCGAAGACGAAGTTGTGAGGAATTTTGGTGTGCAATCGCATTTAGACGACAACGTGAAATGACTCAAAGCACACTCAGTAATTCCACCCAATTGTGATTAGTTTGCTCTCACTTCTGCAAAGAATGGAGGAGCAAAAGTTACTGATCGTGTGAGAGGCATTCTTTAACCCCGGTCTCTTAAAACACAGAAATGTAACGTGGGCAAAGTTGAAAAGTTTAGCAAATTTTTATTATCAGCACGACCGTTGTTCGTCCACTCAACAACGCGACCTCCAAACCCTGGAGGCACTCTCTCAGCCCACCCATACATCCATCCTGGCTTCCACTGGTGAGTAGTAAACCCTAGCGTGATGGTGGAAGACAAAAGCACCGAATACGAGAATCTGTGAAGACTCCTGACCAAAGGTGATGACAATTGTACCTACCTTCGGCATGATTGACAGAGTTGCTATTGGCAATAAAGAGGCACTTGTTGCTAACTAGCTGGAAAGCCTCGTTGTAGGACTGCCTACCAGACTTGCATTGAGACATGTGTTATGCGAACGTACTGGATAGGACCGAGACAGACGCGGTCATTCGACATTGAAATGGAAATGTCATGAAATAGGGGAATAGCCACCACACCCTTTTCCCGAAAAGCTATTCAACACACCGTTCCCCACTAAAATGACTGTGGGGAGCGATGAAGTGTTTGGCTAGCTGCATGCTTTCCTTTTTCGTAAGGCAATTTCTTTACAGAATGCGACTCCATATCCAGCAAGATTGCATGGAGGACTATGTGATGATACAGAGGAACAACTTCTTTAATGCACGACAAATTGTGGCCTCGAGAGGGCGCGGTGTCAACCCCACCTACTACGCTATGAGGCCGATGCGGTGCGTTGGCCAATCAGAGCGTCGGCGATGAAGATTGAAAGGAGCGGTTCCTCCTTTTGTAGACACATTTTGCTTCACATTCATGTTTTCACTAAATAATATATCTGTTAAGTCTCGCAGCTCTCTCTCTCGCATTTTTTCAACATTTAATTTAGACAATAAGTAACATTGTCGTTAGTATTAGTTGCCGAAATGTAGACAAAGCCTTTTACATCGCCCCAAGTTGTCCTCTACAGGCATTGTTATTTCCAGTGAGAAACAATTGCACGAAGTTGGTATAGGCAATACTGGAGGATGGGATAGCATAAACATGTGTTACTATGGTGCGATTCATGTGATGTAATTGTTTGAAACTTTATAATTTCATGGGCTTTTGTAAAATGCGAGTCGTATGATTGGTGGAGGCGCATTGTTTCTCATCACAACAACGGGCCACCAGACTGCTCAATAATGATGGACAGACGATGCGAGTCAGGCCGGATTACTGAGAGACTTTAAAGAGGTTCCACGAAATTCGTAGCTTGTCCACTTATGAACAAAATCCAAGAGCTTCTTTAAGAGACTTTGGATGCCAGTTGTGACACTTGTTTAGTAAATGAAACTTCAGCAATAGCTGTTTGCTTAACTCCCAATTTCGGCAAAGGAGAGACTTGACGACTCTGCCAAAGTTGCCTAAAGCCTTCTATGGGTCCGAAAATATAAACTTTTCCCAAGTATTGCGCCTTTTATGGTCTCTAGGACGGTTTCGTGGTGGTGTGCAAACGTCAGGAAACGAAAGAATTTAGCAGTTGCTGCATCGTTGGCTCTGGGAAATATTAACGTCTTCAGCCAAAAATAGTAGGTCGTGCATGGTATACTCGTCAGTAAAAAGTGGCACCTTCACCAATTTGGAGCATATCTAAAGCCCAAAATTTGCACTCTTTTTACGAAATTCCACATTTCGCCAGTGCTAATGTCTACTTCAAATCGGTGGCTAACTTGTGGAGGTCCAGAAGTGGAAGTGTCGATCAAGAACATTCCGAGGCAAGCAGAGGCGCTTAACTGCTTATCGTCGCACTTTCTACCCTTCAAAAACCACTAATTGCACCGTGTTTGTATTTTCGACCTAAAGAATGATTATTTTTCCTCATACAGGTGCACACAATGGACAGTACAACGTGTATGTAGACTTGTGCCTCATTCGACAACATCAAAGTTTACCTGTTACCTCCAAGAGCATTTTGTAACAGTTTTGTCAAAACGGACTCACGATACGGCACCACTTTCTTCTTCTCAACTAGAGCCTTGTAATTGAGTAAGAGAAGAGACGATATGATTGATGTGCTAATTTCTCTTCCAAACACTTCAGCGTTGACCCAACTGCTACTCGGAAAAGGGATGCTATTTTTGATGGCCTAATCTCTACCTTTCAAAGACAATCTGTGCAAAAATCTTTCAAGTACATCACCAAATCATGCTACTAGGCGCTGCATAGTAGTATGTTGCATATATGCGATACACACTCCGCACATAAATGCCAATTGCCAAGACCCTGAAGTGTGTTTACTTTCAGTTACGAACTAAAGGCATCCTTGCAGAAGTCGAGTCGCATATTTGCATCGCTGATCTGATTCAGTCATGAGCACAAAAGTTGCCAATTTTGTATTCAAAATGTAAATAGTCACCCCACTTTCCACTAAAGAGGATGCTTTAGCCTACCGAAATAACATTTGCCAGCACAGAGAGTGAGCGGTTGATGTTAGCGCCTTCCTTAAGTCGATCACCCACTGCTCCAGTGCTATCCGCACGTTCGGAGCCTGAAATCAAGGGAAGATCCTTGGAATTATCTTTAAGCATACAAATTATTTGCATATTCTTACAAACAGAGGAGGTATTTGAGACGATATTGCCTGCTTCCACATGCTGTATTGAGTCAAAATAGAATGCCTTCATAGTTTAATTCGATCAACCATAAAAATGGGTCGCGTTTACTTTTAGCATGCAAATAATTGGGTAATTTACCCGCTAAGTCAACAAAATTGATCGCAGAGCTCAAGCGCTTTGTAACGCCATTTTCCGACATAATCTGATCAAAAGAGATACACACGAGAGTGTGAGCACGGGAGCTTGTGGCATTCATGTTCGTTGCTGCTATCGTCCGGTTAGCCGTGCCTTTGGGAATTGTTAAATCAAAATAGTCAACAGCAGTTAAAATGATCAAGAAAGGGCGAGTTGTAGGAAAGGGCTTTTGCGAAGAGGACTCCATTGCAGACTATAGTGTCTATACCTTGTTTCATTCTTTCTTCAATGTCCCTGTAAGATCCAACAGGAACGATTTTTAAACCCTGTACAAAGAAGCCTTCTCCAGCAGTTTGTCGAACAGGTAATCCTCCTGAGCACTTTGATTCCAAACTTAAAAGGTCGCGAACCTTTTCATTGTATATCTCTATCATGGAAATAGTCACTTGAAACTCCTATAAATCAAGTAGATCAAATCCAATGATTTGTAGGTTCAAACCTTGTGTGGATTCTTGTTTTTATTAATATTTTCAAATAAGTGTTCACAGGTTATTGGGACGATTCCCCTTTAAAAAAAGGTTAACGATTATGACAGTTGTTTTATGCTAATAACACATTGATAAGCGAAGAAAACTAAGAATATGGTTGAGTATAACTATAATAGTGGGTAGAATTCCAAAACGAATATTCAGAAAATGAAAACAATGGGTTTTATCAAAATAGGTATTATGGATTCGGAAACACATGGAAATTAATTGTATAACAGATTAAAGCACCATCATCTCGAAAGTGGGAAGTGTAGTACTATATATAGACTAAAGAGCAAAATAGAGCTGTAACATCTGTAAAAAACGTTACAGCAATCAAATACTCGGTCTTACTTATTGTTTCCATAGCCAACAATCGAATAAGACTTTCCTGATCCGGTTTGTCCATATGCAAATAAAGAACAGTTATAGCCATCAGAGGCGTTTTTGAGAATTCCAGTACCAAGATCACTAAAAATTTTGTCCTGGCTTGCATATCGAGATGAGGCCCCATCCGGAACGCACACACCATTTTTGTCAACAACAAAGCCATCATGAGACCAGTAAGAATAATCGAATGTGAATTTTTTCTTTTCGTTGCAATCTAAAGTTTAGTGGTATGCAACCCATGCTTTTAAAACCCAAAGCAAAAATATTCAAAAACCATTAACAATTTGCATTCATGCTGTCTTTATTGCTTGTTAAATTATTCAGAGCTAATAATGAAATCTTGGGATGGAACGAGCAGATTAGGCGCCGAAAAGTTTGCGTTTTATTTAAATGCATGTCAATGCTCAACAAGAAATCAAATTGCCTAAAAACCTCAGTAACTAAATATTACTATATGTGCAAGAATCTCTCGATAAAATCATAAACAAATGATAGATTCTGTGGCTACATAAAGAACACTACCTTATTATTATAAACAAAGTGATTCAAAAAACCACGTGCTAAATTACCAAACGATAAAAAAGGCAGCAATATCAATCAAATCAACCTATGTACCCTCAGGATTTGTAATTTCAGTCGTATTCGCATTCATTGAGATCACAAGTTTAGCTTTGCCACTCTTTTCTCTGTCATTAAAGGGTCGAACACGCACAGCAACTATGATCCTAAAAACTTTATGTTATAAAAACAGATACTTACGATTCTTCTTTCATGCCTTATGATGCCAGGTGAAAATTTAAAAGTGCACTAACGCCGATGTGTACTGAATTCTATCAGTGTAAACAAAAACAGACCGAACAAAAAGCGCACCTTTCTATCTATACAAACCAATCCCACCCAATTTAATTTAAAACAATTTACATATTTTGCGAAATCTAAAAAAGTTATTATAAAGAAACACTGTTGCAACAAAACAAAGCAAACAGATAAAGTAAGTTTATTAAAAATCACTATTTAAAAGTAACTAAAAAGTAAATAAATGACAGTCTAATGCCATTGCAGCGTCTTGAGACCTCCTAGCCAGTATAAAAAGTTAGTAAATTTAAATGGATGCATGTGTTTCAAGACGACAGCACAAATTTCAAGTGTGACCGCTAAATGTCATGTCGCCACACAAACAAAGCATTACACTGCCCCTCTCTCCTTTTGGGCGACCTCCTCGACGCTCCCCTTCAGTACACCTCCCGCACCACCCATCACAGCATATACCGTACTGCATGAAAGCACCCACGAGCCAACCGCGCCACTCGACAGACAGCACGGGACTCAGGAACTGCACCCGCTCTCCACGACAGCTTCACCTGCACCTGGAGTTACAGTCGGTCTGA